TATTTCTATTTCTATTCTATTCCTTACCACTACGCATTCTAATTTTTAAGGAAGAGGGACAAGTTTAAGTACATAACAGGCATTTTAATATTTAAAAATAGAGAAGCAGCGATAAAGAGGTGAAGAAGGGTTGCTAACGTTACATCAACATTATGGCTTTTCTCACTGTATAGATTGAGTTCGTGATCATAAACTCTGTCTGTAACCTTAATTACTTGCAGAGCTGTATACACCAAGGGAACAGAAACTACATCAACATTATGGCTTTTCTCACTGTGTAGATTGAGTTCGTGATCATACACTCTGTCTGTAACCTTAATTACTTGCAGAGCTGTATACACCAAGGGAACAGAAACTACATCAACATTATGGCTTTTCTCACTGTATAGATTGAGTTCGTGATCATAAACTTTGTCTGTAACCTTAATTACTTGCAGAGCTGTATACACCAAGGGAACAGAAACTACATCAACATTATGGCTTTTCTCACTGTATAGATTGAGTTCGTGATCATAAACTCTGTCTGTAACCTTAATTACTTGCAGAGCTGTATACACCAAGGGAACAGAAACTACATACATTTCTACTTGGTGTCGTTTATCTTGCCATTTGCCTCTTCGGAAAAAATGTTACACAATTCAACTGGGATTCACAATTAGCCGAAGGAGGTACGTATACATCCTTGATTAGCCCTAACGGACCATGTAGCGTTTCAAAGAGGGAACCCTTAATCTAATAGTTAAAGGCGTTTGTGAAGGTAAACCGAAGTGGGCTATCATTGATTCCTTAGGTTGGGATCTAGAAATAGCATTTTTCTCGGTATGGCTCAGTAGATTTCAATGCATCATTATTATTTTTATTATTTATTTTTTTTTGGGGGGGGGGGGGCTGCACATGTACTACCATCGATAGTTCCTCTAGGAATATAATAATAATAATAATAATAATAATAATAATAATAATAATAATAATAATAAATTATTCAGCTTTAAGTGTTACAATTTAACATTGCTCGCTGTCTAAGTTACTTCTAACACTACTCTATTATGCTTACATCAAAAATATAAATAAATGATAAAATAGAGGATAAAATATCTAAATATACGTGTATATTGATGTCAGTGTGACTGTAAACGGCACATACAACACGACACCAACAAAACAGTCAATACCAGATGTGGCGTAAAGCATGTTAATGCACTATGGGCTATAATTGTATGAAAAGAGCCTTAGTGATAATTTGTTTCTTACATAGCTACACTATCCAATGGTTTTTGGCACGAAATATGTAGTAACAATACCGTTATGGTTGTTCAAATGATTGTCTATTAAAATCTGGTCCTGAATGAGGGCTTATAAACCTTATAATGTTTGGAAGGTCAACTGAGATGGACTGTTTCCAAACTGACCAAAGATAAGCTGTCAGAATACACAAGGAAGTCTGTGCAACATCACCGATGATGCATTTCACCACTTTCCTAACAAATAAAGGTGCCAGTCTTTCAAACTGTTGGGATACAGAAAACTGTCTCGGTCGAAGAGGATAAGTCTTTGTATTTGTCACTATTTATATTCAAAAGTCCACCGCCGAAAGATCTTACGCAAAACAAATTAAACTATAATCTGCATAATGTTAACGGCGATCAAGAAGCAATTTGCACTTCAATATAAATACAAATTGAAAAGATCCCGCCTCGTTCAGTTATTTCCCTAATCACGACGCTCGCCAGCAGGTCTGATCAAAGGATTTGTATATATACATAGTTATCAATCTCATAAGCTGTACCCTGTGGTTCCAGTGTTTGAGTGTTTCGTCCTCTGTGCAACGGTACGCATACAATCGCCGTCACGGTGGAAAGAGATGTGTTTCCAGACAAGTGGTACACATGTATCTACCAATCTCTCACAGGAGGTTCTCCGATTTCATAACGTCAAGGGTCAAAACGCGGCGGACAATTCTTGTTAGACCCCATTTCCAGAGATTAGATCGATCTACTTTAGATCGTCCTAACTCCCTGGGGGTTCACGCTAAATAGCTGTCAGCCAAGCGGACACGAAAGTTAATTACCCCCTTACAGCTTGTAGTAGGCGGGACGGACATTTAAGCCGGATTATCTGACAGTAATCTAGTGAGACTCCCCACGGGGATAGATCGATCTAAAAGCTCTGGGAATACAGCCTTAGACACTTATGCAGAAAAAAAAAGTAGAAAATCCTGGACGATTCAGCAATTGCTCCTATATTCCTTATGTATACCATATTCAGAACAGTTCATAAAATCATAGTCTTCAACCCGTTAAAGTCATAATAACTCTTCGTTTTGGCCAAAAATTGGATTTTCCTGGAAAAAACGGCAATTTTCCCGTACTTACCAATGGTCAACGACCCCATTCCTGCATTCAAAGTTAATCCAGGTTTTTTTCCTAAACGTACGGTTTTTTGTTAAAATCTCTTAAGAGATTATAACTGACGGAGCTCTCTCTGACATTGCAAAGTCACTGGAGACCTACTTAAAACCGCGGGAAAAGCAGACAACAACAACACTATATAAGATTCATGAGATATATTCGTCTTTTTATTAAAAATGCATTTATATCCACAATGTGTGCCATTCAGGGCTTTTCGTTATCCGACGCACTGTACAAAAACTCGCAACTTACGTCTGCGTCCGCATTAATACGTTTGGCGCCATGTTATCTTGGTCTCGAATGAACGCGAGAATCCGCGTGACACCATTACGTCATTAGCAACGAATGCTTTGATGACTGGGAAGAAAAGCATCGAAAGCCCCATTGACAAGCACAGATTTTAGTTTTACTACAATAACGGCCGTTTTAGTGGTAAAATACAGTAGAATATATTTCCATGCGTTGTTTACAATGTATTTCATGCGAAATTTTGAATCTCAAAGGAAGAGTTATTATTGCTTTAAATTTCTGGTTTTTATCATTAAGTGTGAAATTCAACATTCTCTTCGATAAATCTGAATATTGAAAATTCGATGGCTACGGGAAAGGTGTTGAAATGTCCAGAAATTTCAAATTTTGCTAAACGAAGTTTTTACGCTCATTGTGCCCCTTTAACGTCTGCTAGGGCTATCTCGAATATTCCCTGTTAGCACCGTTATTACACAGCGCAGAGAGAATATCTTATGACTCAATTGCCTCGGTGTAAAATGGGATAGAAGAGACAATACCCTGTGATAAATATATTGTAAATAAACAGCCTGTTGAGGCGGTTTCGACTAAGTTAGGTCGACGCATCTCTGATGGAAACTGGCCTATGCTACTGTGAAGAGTCACAGGGGGCGCTACACGCAGGGTAATCTTGGATAATCCTATACCGATTAGAATTTAATCATACCGAGAAGTTCTGCACTTCTTCAACGATAAGAAATATATTGGGTCTTTTTTCTCTCGGATAGATGAAAATCCATATTTAATGCGTGAAAACAGTGTCGTCAAATCTTATTACAAAGGTAGTTTACTTGAGACGCTTGTCTTGAACCTAGATCATTTCCACGAACTTGAACAAAGCGGTGGTGATTTTTATGCATTAGAAATTGAGTACAAGTTGCTGACAGAAATTGATACTAATTCCAGCATTTCGTGTAGCAGTGCTGAATTATATTCTTTATTTGACTTCCCACCAGTGTTGATATGCCCATTAAAAGCATTCTAGGAAATATGGTGGCCGTACACTTAGACGGTTCCTATGTATAAGTAATTCTGTTTTTAGCAAATAATCCTTCGGTTGTTAACTACAGGAGGTGGCTTATTTGATTGAGATGTGCAATCAAGTGTCTATTTCCTGATCTAGACTTCCATCATTTTTAAGAAGCACGGTCTATGTTTTCCATCTTCCGGGGTCACAGGGAGAAGTTTTTCCACTAGATGTTCATAGATATTTTTCTTGATATAATTCACTCACCGTGACAAGCCAATGCGCTGCGTTTTTCACGTGGGTTATCTAAGCATAAAAGAATTCCACTTCTTGAGCCATTAGAAAGAAAGAAAAGAAAGAAAGAAAGATAACAGAAAAACAAAAAGAAAATGTTTTACACATGTATTTACAGGCCTCTGACAATTCTGGGTAGGCCTATTCTTCAAAAAGTGCTTTTTTTCTAGATCGTAAATTTTCCCCATATTTTGCTGATGTAATTGGATCATACTGTACGCAGACTATAAAGCTTTAAACAAAATGGAAATTTAAACTATGAAATCCGGATGTCCTACCTAAAATTTATGTTACATCCAAAGGATTCTGATACAGCAAATTCCTTGCCGCTATTCTTTCCGTTTTTGCAATTTACCCCGAGTTTCAGCGGTCTCTAGAAACCGAGTTCTCTTCTGTCAGTTGCATGTTGTCTGATCACAGGATTTGTGTATATAAATAGTTATTAATCTCATTAGCTGCACCCTGTGGTTCCAGTGCTACGTCCTCTGTGCCACGTTGAGCATACATATGCCGTCATGGGCGGAGACAACCGTGTTTCCAGACATGTTGTAATAGCCTTACCATCTCATGGCGTTACATGTCTACTATCTCTGTTGATAGTATCAAGCTCAGTTTCACACTATCGAAGCACAGGGTACCCGCAATCTACAATGGTGCCAATTTCAGGGATGGATTGTGATAGAGACGCTTACGGATACGCTACATGAATATCCGGTCACATCTAAAGCATTCATTCTTCACTCACCTGTCGCAACGGCAACAAATGGTACCCTCCCCCCTTATCTTCAAGTTAATTCTTTTAGCAGAAAAAGTTAGTGCTTTGATGTTTGTTTTAGCAAAGTGCCCAAACACACAAAGTCAAAATTGGGTAAATTAATTTCAAGCCTGACATCTGTGATAACAGTGTATACAGTACATTAAAATACAGACAAAAAGACTGGTACATTATCAAATGTATTATTTCAAATCAAAATAATTTTACAATCATTAACATAAAAATAGAAAACTATTTATATAAAATAACTAATTATAAATAACTCTGTGATGAAAATTAGACTCTTCCCTTAAAATCTTCCCTCGGCAGAGTCGGCAGTGCTCAGCTTAAAGCAAAAGTAATTAATTAGAACTTGCACACAGTATCTTTTTCATGAAAACCACTTTCACCAATAAGATTGCTTCTCAAAAATATCAAACACTTTCCTTCTTTTCCTTTCCTTCATGGAAAGATACTAGTAGGCTTATGCATGACTGACTAAATATTTAAAGCTTTTGTACCTACAGAAAATATTTCAAAGTAACTTTAAGATTATTTAAATCATATTAAGCTTGCTGTAGATTTAATTTCAGGGCTGATTTATATTAGGGACAGTTAGTCAAAATAGTAAAAAAAATATGCAAAAAAGCATGACACTTAATTTTGGTAAGTGTCTACAAAATAACTTACTTTATTTTCAAAATTTGCAATTTATCAAAAAAAAAAAAAAAAAACTGTTTGCTCTACCAAATACCCTCTTGAGCTGTTTACCCCTCATCTTGCATAGTTGTAAATAAGGCAATACCCCAATAAATACAAAAATTTTCAATTCTTAATAAATATAATGCTTTCTGTGACAAAACTAAAACTCCTCTAGTTGTATGAATTTCCACTTCAGACGCTGTTACTGCCATTAAACTCAAACTTAAGAATTCACCAGAATGTAGTAAATTCAAACTGGGATTGTGTCAAAACCCTGTAATGATAAAGCAGCACCTCGGCTTGAATTGCGTTCCACGTCACATGGAATATTTCGAAAATATCCCAATCTTTGTTTGACCGAGCACGACACGTGACTAGATAGTGCTCTGGCTGCCAGCTGGTATATGACTAGCTTAACTACTAAACTATGGGCAATGTACAGGCATTAACCATATTTGAAACAAAAATAGTTATATTATAACAGTGAATCGATTGTCTGGTTTGCAAATAAAATGCTCAGTGCAAATCTCTCATCAGGTTTCCAAATTTTAAGCTGGGTCATACTGTACAAAATAACAATAATATTTCATGTCATACACATTTGGTAAAGATGTTGGTAGATTGTCAAGAAAATTGCTGTTATGTACAATGTTTTCTATGCACTGTGAAACAATGCTGTACATAAAAAAAAGTTATTTTGCACTCATGGGCAACCAGGTTATTCAGGCTGAAAGAATTCTATCCAGTCAAACAATGTTTAACAGTTATTTGAGAATCAAATCAACCTGATTAAACAAGTTTTAATTAAAATCCTTTCATAAAGTAATGCACAACTGTTGCAAACCCACGCCATATATATTCCATGTACATTCCATTTAGGTGCTCAGAACGTATGCATACATAAATGAATCGAAACCCTGTTAAATATCAGCAGTTTGCCAAGGCACAATCAGGTTGATATAGCACTGACATCAGTCATAAAGCCATGTTCAAACTAGAATAAAATTGTGGTTAGCTCTTGTGAAAACACTGCAATGTGCCTTAATTAACGTTCAGAGGAATTTTATCCAGTCTTTAAAAAAATATTTTTATCCAGTTTTGTCCAAAAGCTGACCTGGATCATCATGTAATAAAAACAACATTACAGAAACTACGTAGGTTTTGTATGTCAATTTGTCATCCTGTCATGTCTGTCACACTGGGTTTTTTCCTCTGACTGCATGGCAGCACCAGAACATTCTCTTATCAATAAGAGGCAAATATTGATTGTCATGAAACACAGATAAAAATTTAGGCTGAATTTTCCTTTATGAAGTTCTGTTTTTTATGTCACAGAGCTGTATCTCACTACACCTGTCCTCTTCTCCTCGTCTTCTTTCAATTTCCTACTGCCCTGTTCCAAAGACTACATGTACATACACAATGGACAGAATAAATAAACAAAATCAGGTACGTCTAGATGCTATTTCTTCTTTTTCTTGCCTTTTTTTCCTTTTTTCTTGGGTGCACCCTCCCAACCAAAACCCCTCATTTCTAGGGCTTCCACGGGCCCATGTGCTATGTAGTACAAGTTTTTCATGGCAGCTTCGCTCATAATGTCTACATTTTCCTTCACTGCTGACGCAGATTTCTTCCCACTCTTTTTCCCACTCTTCTTCCCACCTTTTTTCCCACTCTTGTTTCTGGGTAGTCGTTTGGCACTGACAGGCTAAAACACATAAAGGGAAATTTAATCAATTTTGTGAATTACCAATTGTCACTGGACAACAATGAAAAAGGACTCAGTTTCCTGCTTATGTCTATAGGATATAGGGAAAATCTTATCTTTAGCAAAGGTCAGATAAAGGTCCTAATATATAAGCTGATATGACCAATTAGCCAATATGAAGCTGTAAAAATTCTTTCACAGTAAATTTCAAGGTTCTAATGTGCCTTTAGTTGCAGTAATATTGGGTCCACTTTTTAGTAACCTGTCCTTTTACCCCTTTGAAATTGCTGGCCAAGGGCCTATTATTTATACCGTAATAGTTAAAAGTCTTATACACTTTTACATACTAGTATAAATTACTAAGGTCATTATATTATACAAGAAAGTATAAGTATATTATGAAATTAAATTTTCAAAATTAACAAATTTTAACATGAAAAATTAATTAAAAAGAAAAAAAACCCTGACCAATCCAAAATTTTCTCAACATAATGAAGAAAAGTAAATTCACTAGTATATTTTCTGTATAACTTACAGACTGAGGCATTTTCCTTCCCCAGATGACCTCTTAAAACCAGGATAAAGGTTTAGCAAGTCTGCCTACCCTGTGTCATGAAAACTGTGCTACATGTACAGTCTGATTATAAAGTGTTGACTCGTCATGCAGTTGTAATCAAACTGTCGTTAGGTACAAGATAAATACCAGTAATGCTAACATTGATTCCTATTGGGATCAATTGACCCAGCATTATTACAATTGAACCACGGGCATTCTTTGGTCTCTAAAGGAATATTGGGCTAGAAGTTTACAAAATTAAGCAAATGTTTAGAGTAGATTTATAATTCATTTGATCATTGTGAAACATTTGAAATAAATTCCGTTTACAAGGTGCCTCTATTTTGACAAAGTTGTTCTAATGGTAAGGGAAAACTGATGGAGGGGTGGCTTATGGATCACAAAATGAAAACAAAAAGCTTATGGGGTCAGTCTTTGATGCGAGTGTTTTTTCTTTTCTTTATGCTGAGTTTTATAGAATATCATGAGTCATCCTTTCCCAATGTATTGGCATACTAGTGCATGTACAATTAAGGTAATTACTTTATCTTTTTAATGGGGAAAAATTGTGAACTTTATACATATTATATATTTTCTGTCGTAATTTCTTGAAATAAGAACACTCATATTTTTCAACAATTTTTTTGTTTTTTGAAAGAGAGAGAGAGAGGTTGGAGCAACTGACATGCACTAATATGTTTGTAAAAAAATTCTTTGTCATTCCTCAAGTTGGATCAACAAAGGGGGTAAAGATTTTCACATTTTTTTTCCCAAAAAGACCCCCCCTTTCTCTGAAAATGCTGACCAGTCCATCTCTGTACGTAATGTGCTNCGTTTGCTAGTAGGCTATTTCGGATTCTCCCTGTTAGCGCCGCTTACACAGCGCAGAGAGAATATCTTATGACTTGCCTCGATGTAACATGGGGTACACGAGACAAAACCCTGTGATAAATATATTGTAAATAAACGACTTCTTGAGACGGTTTAGACTAAGTTAGGTCGACGCATCTCTGATGGAAACTGGCTTATTATATGGTCCTGTGAAGAGTCACAGGGGGCGCTATACGCAGGGTAATCTTAGATAATCCTATACCGATTAGAATTTAATCATACCGAGAAGTTCTGCATTTCTTCAATGATAAGAAATATATTGGGTCTTTTTTCTCTCGGATAGATGAAAATCCATATTTAATGCGTGAAAACAGTGTCGTCAAATCTTGTTACAAAGGTAGTTTACTTGAGACGCTTGTCTTGAACCTAGATCATTTCCACGAACTTGAACAAAGCGGTGGTGATTTTTATGCATTAGAAATTGAGTACAAGTTGCTGACAGAAATTGATACTAATTCCAGCATTTCGTGTAGCAGTGCTGAATTATATTCTTTATTTGACTTCCCACCAGTGTTGATATGCCCATTAAAAGCATTCTAGGAAATATGGTGGCCGTACACTTAGACGGTTCCTATGTATAAGTAATTCTGTTTTTAGCAAATAATCCTTCGGTTGTTAACTACAGGAGGTGGCTTATTTGATTGAGATGTGCAATCAAGTGTCTATTTCCTGATCTAGACTTCCATCATTTTTTAAGAAGCACGGTCTATGTTTTCCATCTTCCGGGGTCACAGGGAGAAGTTTTTCCACTAGATGTTCATAGATATTTTTCTTGATATAATTCACTCACCGCGACAAGCCAATGCGCTGCGTTTTTCACGTGGGTTAACTAAGCATAAAAGAATTCCACTTCTTGAGCCATTAGAAAGAAAGAAAAGAAAGAAAGAAAGAAAACAGAAAAACAAAAAGAAAATGTTTTACACATGTATTTACAGGCCTCTGACAATTCTAGCTGGGTAGGCCTATTCTTCAAAAAGTGCTTTTTTTCTAGATCGTAAATTTTCCCCATATTTTGCTGATGTAATTGGATCATACTGTACGCAGACTATAAAGCTTTAAACAAAATGGAAATTTAAACTATGAAATCCGGATGTCCTACCTAAAATTTATGTTACATCCAAAAGATTCTGATACAGCAAATTCCTTGCCGCTATTCTTTCCGTTTTTGCAATTTACCCCGAGTTTCAGCGGTCTCTGGAAACCGATTTCTCTTCTATCAGTTGCATGTTGTCTGATCACAGGATTTGTATATATAAATAGTTATTAATCTCATTAGCTGCACCCTGTGGTTCCAGTGCTACGTCCTCTGTGCCACGTTGAGCATACACTTGCCGTCATGGGCGGAGACAACCGTGTTTCCGGACATGTACTATCTCTGTTGATAGTATCAAGCTCAGTTTCACACTTTCGAAACACAGGGTACCCGCAATCTACAATGGTGCCAATTTCAGGGATGGATTGTGATAGAGACGCTTACGGATACGCTACATGAATATCCGGTCACATCTAAAGCATTCATTCTTCACTCACCTGTCGCAACGGCAACAAATGGTACCCTCCCCCCTTATCTTCAAGTTAATTCTTTTAGCAGAAAAAGTTAGTGCTTTGATGTTTGTTTTAGCAAAGTGCCCAAACACACAAAGTCAAAATTGGGTAAATTAATTTCAAGCCTGACATCTGTGATAACAGTGTATACAGTACATTAAAATACAGACAAAAAGACTGGTACATTATCAAATTTATTATTTAAAATCAAAATAATTTTACAATCATTAACATAAAAATAGAAAACTATTTATATAAAATAACTAATTATAAATAACTCTGTGATGAAAATTAGACTCTTCCCTTAAAAATCTTCCTTCGGCAGAGTCGGCAGTGCTCAGCTTAAAGCAAAAGTAATTAATTAGAACTTGCACACAGTATCTTTTTCATGAAAACCACTTTCACCAATAAGATTGCTTCTCAAAAATATCAAACACTTCCCTTCTTTTCCTTTCCTTCATGGAAAGATAGGCTTATGCATGACTGACTAAATATTTAAAGCTTATGTACCTACAGAAAATATTTCAAAGTAACTTTAAGATTATATAAATCATACTAAGCTTGCTGTAGATTTAATTTCAGGGCTAATTTTTATTAGGGACAGTTAGTCAAAATAGTAAAAAAAAATATGCAAAAAAGCATGACACTTAATTTTGGTAAGTGTGTACAAAATAATTTACCTAATTTTCAAAATTTGCAATTTATCAAAAAAAAAAAAAAAAAAATGTTTGCTCTACCAAATACCCTCTTGAGCTGTTTACCCCTCATCTTGCATAGTTGTAAATAAGGCAATACCCCAATAAATACATACATTTTCAATTCTTGATAAATATAATGCTTTCTGTGACAAAACTAAAACTCCTCTAGTTGTATGAATTTCCACTTCAGACGCTGTTACTGCCATTAAACTCAAACTTATGAATTTCACCAGTATGTAGTAAATTTAAACTGGGATTGTGTCAAAACCCTGTAAAGATAAAGCACCACCTCTGCTTGAATTGCGTTCCTCGTCACATGGAATATTTAGAAAATATCCCAATCTTTGTTTGACCGAGCACGGCACGTGACTAGATAGTGCTCTGGCTGCCAGCTGGTATACGACTAGCTTAACTACTAAACTATGGGCAATGTACAGGCATTAACCATATTATATTTGAAACAAAAATAGTTATATAACAGTGAATCGATTGTCTGGTTTGCAAATAAAATGCTCAGTGCAAATCTCTCACCAGGTATCCAAATTTTAAGCTGGGTCATACTGTACAAAATAACAATAATATTTCATGTCATATACATTTGTTAAAGTTGTTGGTAGATTGTCAAGAAAATTGCTGTTATGTACAATGTTTTCTATGCACTGTGAAACAATGCTGTACATAAAAAAAAAGTTATTTTGCATTCATGGGCAACCAGGTTATTCAGGCTGATAGAATTCTATCCTGTCAAACAATGTTTAACAGTTATTTGAGAATCAAATCAACCTGATTAAACAAGTGTAAATTAAAATCCTTTCATAAAGTAATGCACAACTGTTGCAAACCCACGCCATATATACTCCATGTACATTCCATTTAGGTGCTCAGTACGTATGCATACATAAATGAATCGAAACCCTGTTAAATATCAGCAGTTTGCCAAGGCACAATCAGGTTGATATAGCACTGACATCAGTCATACAGCCATGTTCAAACTAGAATAAAATTGTGGTTAGCTCTTGTGAAAACACTGCAATGTGCCTTAATTAACGTTCAGAGGAATTTTATCCAGTCTTTAAAAATATATTTTTATCCAGTTTTGTCCAAAAGCTGACCTGGATCATCATGTAATAAAAACAACATTACAGAGACTACGTAGGTCTTGTATGTCAATTTGTCATCCTGTCATGTCTGTCACACTGGGTTTTTTCCTCTGACTGCATGGCAGCACCAGAACATTCTCTTATCAATAAGAGGCAAATATTGATTGTCATGAAACACAGATAAAAATTTAGGCTGAATTTTGCTTTATGAAGTTCTGTTTTTTATGTCACAGAGCTGTATCTCACTACACCTGTCCTCTTCTCCTCGTCTTCTTTCACTTTCCTACTGCCCTGTTCCAAAGACTACATGTACATACACAATGGACAGAATAAATAAACAAAATCAGGTACATGTCTAGATGCTATTTCTTCTTTTTCTTGCCTTTCTTTCCTTTTTTCTTGGGTGCACCCTCCCAACCAAAACCCCTCATTTCTAGGGCTTCCACGGGCCCATGTGCTATGTAGTACAAGTTTTTCATGGCAGCTTCGCTCATAATGTCTACATTTTCCTTCACTGCTGACGCAGATTTCTTCCCACTCTTTTTCCCACTCTTCTTCCCACCTTTTTTCCCACTCTTGTTTCTGGGTAGTCGTTTGGCACTGACAGGCTAAAACACATAAAGGGAAATTTAATCAATTTTGTGAATTACCAATTGTCACTGGACAACAATGAAAAAGGACTCAGTTTCCTGCTTATGTCTATAGGATATAGGGAAAATCTTATCTTTAGCAAAGGTCAGATAAAGGTCCTAATATATAAGCTGATTTGACCAATGAGCCAATATGAAGCTGTAAAAATTCTTTCACAGTAAATTATCTTTTCAAGGTTCTAATGTGCCTTTAGTTGCAGTAATATTGGGTCCACTTTTTAGTAACCTGTCCTTTTACCCCTTTGAAATTGCTGGCCAAAGGCCTATTATTTATACCGTAATAGTTAAAAGTCTAATACACTTAATGCACCACTTGTACATACTAGTATAAATTACTAAGGTCATTATATTATACAAGAAAGTATAAGTATATTATGAAATTAAGTTTTCAAAATTAACAAATTTCAACATAAAAAATTAATTAAAAAGAAAAAAAACCCTGACCAATCCAAAATTTTCTCAACATAATGAAGAAAAATAAATTACTAGTATATTTCAGGGGCGTAACCAGGCATACGCACGGATGCACTGTGCGTACTTTTTTTGAGCCAACCATGATATTATTCTACATAAATTCAGTGTATTTTTCACGGAATATAATCGTACCTGGGAATTTTCAAAATCTGTGCGAACAATTTTAAAAGGTCTGGTTACGCCCCTGTATTTTCTGTATAACTTACAGACTGAGGCATTTTCCTTCCCCAGATGACCTCTTAAAACCAGGATAAAGGTTTAGCAAGTCTGCCTACCCTGTGTCATGAAAACTGTGCTACATGTACAGTATGATTATAAAGTGTTGACTCGTCATGCAGTTGTAATCAAACTGTCGTTAGGTACAAGATAAATACCAGTAATGCTAACATTGATTCCTATTGAGATCAATTGACCCAGCATTATTACAACTGAACCACGGGCATTCTTTGGTCTCTAAAGGAATATTGGGCCAGAAGTTTACAAAATTAAGCAAATGTTTAGAGTAGATTTATAATTCATTTGATCATTGTGAAACATTTGAAATAAATTCTGTTTACAAGGTGCCTCTATTTTGACAAAGATGTTTTAATGGTGAGAGAAAGCTGATGAAGAGTTGGCTTATGGATCACAAAATGAAAACAAAAAGCTTATAGGGTCAGTCTTTGATGCGAGTGTTTTTTCTTTTCTTTATGCTGAGTTTTATTGAATATCATGAGTCAACCTTTCCCAATGTATTGGCATACTAGTGCATGTACAATTAAGGTAATTACTTTATCTTTTTAATGGGGAAAAATTGTGAACTTTACACATATTACATATATTTTTTGTCGTAATTTCTTGAAATTAGAACACTCATATTAAGTGGTAGCAACAATTTTTTTTTGTTTTTTGAAAGAGAGAGAGAGGTTGGAGCAACTGACATGCACTAATATGTTTGTGAAAAAGTTATTTGTCATTCCTCAAGCTGGTCAACTAAGAGGGTAAAGAGGTTCACATTTTTTTTTTACAAAAAGACCCCCCCTTTCTCTGAAAATGCTGACCAGTCCATCTCTGTACGTAATGCGTTAATAATAATCATCACAAACATACAAATGTAAATCTATGCAGACACACACTCTGATCACCCTGAGCTTCAGAGATAACTTGACACTAACCTCTTCACTATAGCCTATCTTCATCGTGTCAAGTTACCTCTGACCACATTCAATTGCCCCCGCCGCCCGCCAATCAAATTTAAAGCCCGCACTCAATGACTCATTGAACAATCTAGCCAATGAATGCGAACGAGTCAAAGCGCGCTTTGTTCAAATCCGGACCAATCAAAGATAAGGCTGAACCTGTGGGCAGCACGCAAAATACATCATCCCTCAGTAGATAATGATGCAGGGCCTCAAACTGCTCTGGTTTCAATTCCGATATACTCATATTTTGCAAAGAATCAAGAGATAACTTAACACATTATTTTACGTAGTCACTCGTAGGAGACGCCATGCTTTCTTTGTGTACGGTTATGCACTCGGAACTACTCGGATGTCTCCGCACTTTGTTGTTAGTATGGAGCTTGCGGAATCAGCCGAGGATTGCCGATTGACGGTCAACCAATCAGCATTTTCACCAAACTTTGGTGAAAATTTTTTAAACTTGGATTCGCTTGGCTTATATAAACTAGGTCAAACTATTTTCGTCAGAGGTAACTTGACATGATGAAGATAGGCTATTGTGAAGAGGTTAGTGTCAAGTTATCTCTGAAGCTCAGGGTGACTCTGATATGCTTTCCCATATAAGAACAGATATTATTTGGCATTTTTCAAGATTTCAACTTACCATTTTTTCTTTTCTTTTTTTTTTTTTTTTATTTCCTAAATATTCTTATTTCCTAATGCAGCTATAAACTGATGCCACATTCAAAGGATTGATGCACAATGAATCAGTTTGCCATCTAAATCAGACATCATGGATCCTGAAAATAATCATAACATTTAAGTCATTTTAATATTTAAAAATATCATGAGTTGATGCATTTGAAGTATCCCAAAGTCACATTTTTATGGCTTAATATATCCTGAAAAGCCACTTTTCATTTTCAATTCAGACCTTTAAAATGATCATCTATAATCCAATAAAAATACTTATAAATTAGTATTTCCTTCTGAGAAGACATTTAGAACTAAAATATTCAATTAAAAATGGCATAAAACATTGAATACAAGTGTCGGGATGGAAAAGTTAAATTTGGCATGAATATCCAAGAAAGGATATCTTTAAATAACTTTTTTTCTATAAAACAGCTAGAAAACTTCATCTTGGACTTGGGCTAGCAATATTTCAATAAAAATATATGTTGATGCCACACTAATAGGAATGATAATTTTACAGACAGTGCATATCAACAACATTATAGTTAAAATGACTTACAGTAAGCAAAATTCCACTGCTCAATCAATACAACAATTATTACATCACCAGCATAGGAACCAATCAATAAAATCATGAATAGTCCTATACACAAACAGTATGTCGGAGACATTTAATGATTCATAGGCAATGTCAGTAACTTCAAGTAATAACTTTTTATTGTAAACCGTAATTCTCTATAATACATCATGTCAAGTCTAAAGAGGCAGAGTAAGCCTTGTTTACTATTCTGATTAAGAAGCCACATATTAAGAAGCTCATGAAGCCATTGTCTTGGTTAGATACTTAAGGGTGTAATTCTACACATATCGTCAGAATGTACCTGAGCAAGCGACGAGTGATCATTAAATGATTGAAACTGGTTATTGTTGTCAGCGTTGGATTTCCTCATAGCGATTTACACGTAACTATTTTGACCACGAACCAGGAAGGTAACATTAACGTGTTATCCAACCTAAAGTCTACATCAGTGTCCATATTTCGAGCCTGTTTCTAAATTTGATTCATAGCTAAATTTTGCGCGGTCCCGGACAAGTAGCAATATTTGCATAAAAATACAACTCACTGCAAATGATCTTATACTGGTAATGACTTGAACATTGAAGTTACATGACAATTTTGGTTGCGGTAGACATAGTCAGCTTTATTTCTCCCTTCTACTGATCCAAAAAATCAATTTTTGTTTCTGTGTCTAAGAATTCTGTATTACATTTTTATTTAGCTCAGAATGTTTCAACTTATAAAACAGTCAAGTGGGCTATAGGGTTACACCCCCAAACAACACGTGCTTTCATTCACCTCACAATTAACAATATTTTTACACGTACTGCAATAATAATGTGCCCTTTGAAAAGTAAAAGCTGGGGAGGTCCCTCCTCCGACTACCGTAGAAAATATGTTTGGTAATCTTCTAGGGAGTAAATGGCTTCTATAATTAACATTTGGCTAAATCAGGAGATAAACGTGTAAATAAGACAAAGCCTGTCATCAGTGATGATCAAAATAGCACTAGCGCCTAAGTAAGTACCCTGAGAAAGTTGTCATTTTTCACTTTCCTTTGGTGATGTTGTATGATTAGTGAAGTAATTTATTGTAAATTAGTGTATTTGCCCTCAGATTACTATGATTTAATCCAACTGTGAGAAATTATTAATAAAATTATTATTTAATGGGACGTAATGCACATTGATAATTGAACTAAGCAATAAAACATCAAGTTGCATGTGTCTTACCTCACTGTAAGTCGTGTATCATTGCAGTCCAACTAACAATCAAACGCACTGCTCTGTTTGTTATTATTACCGCTAGAGGTCACACGCTTTGGAGAGCGAGTCTGTGTTGTTGCTATGGAGATCACATGGTCCCACTCTCGCGAATTTTTCTATTTTTGATTTAAAAAGTTTTTTATTCTCAAGTGATTTCCTAATTTCATAAAGATAATATATATTTTGAGAAAGGATATTGTTAAGATTATGATTTAAAGAAAATGTGATTTTTAAGCAATCTACCGAAAGCCTCTAAGAATTTCAATATGGCGTCAAGTTGGCGAGATAAATTATTATGACTTAAAAAAAGTTCAGTTTCTTCACAAACGAGAGCTTGATCATTACATTTTACAGGTAAAATCTTTGTATATCATGCAAAAATTAATTGTGTGGACAATGTCATTACACATGTAGATACTTAACCTAATTTAACCACCTGCTACTAATGGCTAGTGTTCATACACGGTGTACTGAGCTCTACAGAGTTCAGAAAATAACTGGTACGGTGGTAGCACGAAAATTCTTATTTTGATATGTACTCTTTGTACTTTAGCATAAAATATATCGGATAGAGATAACAATAACATGACTTTCAGCTAGCGCATCATCGCCGTTTCGGGAACTCGGAAACAGAAATATATTGCTTACCTGTAAATTGTTGAATGTTTACTAGAAAAAAAATCTGTAGCACTAGACGTAATGTACTTGCTGACAGAAAAGTCACCACTTATTACAATACAGGTGTTTTTCATACTTTACAGTCTGCCCCATGACTAAGGGAAATGAACAACATGCACCAGCATCTTGCACGGAACAATGCAGTATGACTCCCTGAGCCCTTGCTAGTTCATCAAACACTCATGTGATTAGCAAGCAGTAGCAGAAATGTCCACTCAAGCAATCCCTCACCTGGCCATGAATTTCACAGAGAACCATCAGGGGAGCAACATACTGGACAAAATGAGGGTCCAGAGGGATGCGCGACGGTTTTGCGACGTGGTCCTTCACGTTGAGGGGAAGAAATACATGGCGCACCGAAATGTCCTGGCAGCCTGCAGCCCATATTTTGATTCCATGCTGAAGCCCAGCACCATCAGCAAAGAACAGGTGTTTCTCCCTTGTCAAAACCAGGCCATTTTTGAAGTGCTGTTGGATTACGTGTACACAGGAAAAGTGGTTGTGGATCAAGAGAATGTGTTTGAACTGGTGCAGCTGGCCAATCATTTGTTGATCGGGAGGTTGAAGGATCACTGCAGTGAGTACCTGGAGAGATACATGAACATTACTAACTGCTTGCAGATACAGGATGTAGCTGAGAAGTGTGGCATGCCTGCTCTGGAAAAGAGTGCAACGACTTTCATTAAGAGTAATGTCAACTTGGTAGTCCTGCAGGAAGGTAGGGGGAAACTTGTGTGTTGCCATAGTTTGTTAAAAGTGATTTAAAAAAAAATAGAAATAATGGTGATTTAAAGATAAGTTCTTTCTCATCAGCATATTTTCAATGAAATAACATGATGCAATATGTATTTGATATAACTGTGATATAACTGTGTCACTTTTGGTAAAAAAAAATCATATCATAAATAACCTTATTAATTTGTTTTAATAAGGGATATTAAAAGTGATCATTTGGCCATTATGTGTTGTAAAAAAGCCACAGATTACTAGTACAAAATTTATATACCTGTAGTAATTGTTATAAATTATAACTTTCAAGGTGTCCTACAAGTCCCACCTCCCAAGCTTGAAATGGTGCTGGCAGAACGGAACTTCCTCCTCACCGAAGAGGTCAAGCTGGACCTGATCATGAGGTGGACAGAAGTGGACGTTCCTGGCCGCCACAAACACCTGTACGGCATGCTGGCCTGGATCCAGTGGGATCGCATCGACGTCAACATGATATTTCACACCATGGAGAACAACCAGATGCTGAAGGCCGATGAGCGGTGCATGTACGCCTTTTTACTGACCCTTTTGGAGCACAGTCTCCTCATGCCTAATTACATGGAGTATTTCACTCAACTCAAGGACCAGGTGCAAAGAGCCGAGGCGGAAGCCAATGCTAAGGTTCTTTGTAGTAACAAGGAGGATGAGGCACAAGATCCTATGGTGAGCGATAAGGAGGAGAATTCATTGGAGAATGTGGTAGGTGAGAAAACTGAGGAAACCAGCGCAATTGGGGACCTCTCCAACACATCTTGTAGCACAGAAATGGCTGGAGAGGCACAAAATGGTGATAGTGTGGAGCTTCAGACAAGAAAAAGGGGGAGAAAGACAGATAGGCCTTTAAAAGTAGTGAAGAGAGCAGCCAGAGAAAGGAGAGCAAAAGTGCCAAATACAGCCAAGACGGCAAAGCTCGGCAAATGTGAACAAGGTGATAAGTGCAATAGTACAGTTGAAAATAATGCTAGGATCGAGGATGAGAAAACAGGGAGTGAGGGAAAGACAGTTGCTAGCACAGGTGAAGCAAAGGTAAAAGAGGACATCTCAAAAGATCTGGATCTCATGGCGGATGATGATCTTTTCAAAACTGGTGCAATGAGTAGTGATGAAGATGAAGATGAAGTTGATGATGGTGAATATGATGATGATGATGATGATGATGATGAAGACTATGAGTATGTTGATGTTCAGAAGACAAAGCCTCTGAGGAAACGAGGACGGCCAAAAGGTAAAAGAGACGCCAAAAAAAGGAAACAAAAGTTTGTGCAGAAAGCAACGTATAGCTGTACTGAGTGTGCCTATCACTGCAGTACAGAGTACAGACTGGAGAAACATGTTGCTAAGGCACACTCTGATGACACAACTTACACGTGTAACATTTGTAATGGCTTTGAAAGTAAGTGGATCCGTGAGTACACACGGCACATGAAACAACATTTTGGCCACCCGCCGTACCCGTGTGATTTCACAGGCTGTGAGTACAAGGCGGACCGTATGCAGCTGTTGCTGTACCATCGCATGAAGCACACAGATGACAGACCATTTGAGTGTCCTGTCTGTAGCTTTAAATTCAGGTCCAAACACAATCTGAAGACACATCTTAAGATACACTCTGGTGAGTGAAAGTAGAAGGTGTTATTGATATAAAATTCAATATTAACATTTGCATTCAGTCATTTAAGACAAACTAGCAGTGGTTTCAATTTTTTTTTTTTTAGCTAGTGAAATTTTAGTACAACACTGTTATTGTCCAAAATGATTTATTACATAACTAGTAAAAGATTATTTGTCTATAAAGATGGGTTGCACTTGGTTTGTTGGAAATTTTTAGAATATCTATCCGCAACTTTCTTAGACAAGTGGAAGGTTTGTAGATTCAGTGGGGATATTCCCATTTATTCTGTATTCTAGTAAGCCAAGATTTTAGTCAAAAAGTTAGGATACACTTTCAGTCTAAAGTCTTTTTGTTTCATAGATTGAGAGCCCATTGCGTTTTTGGTAATAGAGATGATGCATTTTCCTCCAGGTGAGCGACCATGGCAGTGCCAAACGTGTGGGCGTTGTTTTGCCACCAAGAACACCATGCAGCAACACACAGTGATCCATGGTGACCTCCGACCCTACCTCTGTGATCTCTGCGGCTTCTCTACCAAATATCAGTCTCACCTCATTGCGCATAAGAGGATACATACAGGTACAGGTAGTAAATGGATCTCAACCAAATATCAGTCTCTTCTCATTGCACATAAGAGAATACACAATAATAACAATTGTTATGAGAATAGTGTCTTCAGACAACAGCTGAACTCTTTGTTATATATGCTGTTCTATTAGAAGGAATGTTCTCATAATTTGACGGAATAATATGTCTGATGAAATCCTTTGCTGTTATTTAGTGTAAGTCAATAATAATAGGTTATGTAGATATATTGTACTGGTTACTTTCATTCTTTACGGGTATCATCTTTACATCTATCACATTTGAAATGATTTTGTTTGTGTTTTTACAATGATATAGTTGCCAATTCTTCTCACGGCTGTCCTTAGTTGGTTGCAAAAATTGTTTTAATGTGCCAATGATGAACATTTTCCCTTTGCTCTTGAAACTCCATGAGAGCTAAAGATTAGTCTTTCTGAGGCATAGGATTCTTGAACTTTTGAAAACTTATAGTAATTAATCAAATTAATTGATTCTTGTCCTTTCCACGAAATTCTTATTTATAACAAAATGATATATTGAAATGAATGATGAAGTTCTATAACTCTGAAAATAGCTCAAGATTTCAGATAACATTGAAACAATTTCTGCCATTTTAGGTGATGTCTTTAGATGCACATACCCAACATGTAAGTACTTCACTCCCAAAAAGAGCCAGCTAAAGGCTCATCTACGCATTCACCAGGCCAGTAGAGAGCACACATGCAAAGTTTGCGGCCGCGCCTTCGTTGAGAAAAGTCACTTGGTGCGCCATGAGCGAATCCATCTAGAGGATAAACCTTTCAAATGTGTTGAGTGTGATTATGCCAGTTCAAGAAGAGACAAACTCAAGGAACATACTGAGAAACATCATGGAATTTATGCCACTGCAAAAACTCCTTACAAGCCTCGCAAAGGACGTTCGTCCAAGTTGCAGCAGGAACTGCAGCCTAGTCAGATACTACAGTATAACAACTATACACTCAGTGAAGTGGCTGGGGATGGGGGTCAGGGGTACATACCCCAAGCAGACATGAATCCTTCCCAAGGGTCCACGCATGCGCAGGTTCAGGCAACAAACCACGGCCTGCAGTTTCCTCCTGTCTCGTTATCGCAGGAAGACCAGGGTGTGCTGTCTGCAGGGGGAATAGTACAATCTATGCATGTGACAACGCAACTTCCTCCTCCTCCTCCTCCTCCTCAACAACAACAACATGTACAACAACAACAACAGCAGCAGCAGCAGCATCATCATCAGGGCCAGCAGCAGCATTTACAAGGGGAGATGGGGGTTAGGGCTCCTGTGATGCCATCTACCCAACAACACTGCCCACCTTCTTTCCCCCAGGAGTGCTATGGAGGTTTAGGTGCATTCATTGCTCTCCTGAATTAATTTAGTTAACAGGGTTAATCTGTTCATCAGGGGCGGATTGAGGCCTTCTTCTGGGTCTTCCAGAAGACGGTCAGATTTTCAAGTTTACATTGACGGGTATCTATTTTTTTCTGTCAGAAGATGGTCAAAAATGGAGGATGGATCAACAAAAATAATTTTGAAGACTGTCAGAAAATATCTCTGGATCCGCTCCTGTTCATGGTGTGTTCATGAAGGAATTTGCTAAGAGCAGTTTTAAGATGAATGTCTTTGTAACTGGATGACCAAATTTTTGTAACCTGATGTTATTAAATGCATTTTAGGATTCAGTAGGGATCTGTTGGTGCACGTAGAGGGGTGGGAGTACCTGCATTAGTTTAAGTTCTTTTTAAAAGACACATAGATGATGTGCTGTATCATTTGTTATAAATTTTATTAATTTTTATGTATTTTTTGGCTTTTTTTTTTTCTTGGAGATCTTTCCACTTCCTTTTTACGTTAACGGTGGTCTGGCGATACCAGACAAGGTCTCTGAATATCTGCTGACCAATTAGTGCAATATGATTTTCTGTAGCTGCCTTCTCATTTACTTTGTGTAAAGGTGCATGGCACCAAATTTTTCATTTTGTACCTCAGAGCTAGCTGAGTAGGAACCTTCTCTTTACCTGTTAACTTTATAGTCTAAATTCTCAACCGAGTTGACACTTTTCACGGCCAGCACAAGTTTTCTGTACCACACAAGTCAGAGAGATTGATAACTGAATGTAGCCATCACATAAGAGATCCCGCATGTGGCTTCTTTACCAGATTAACTTTGGTTAATATGTAAGAGCTTGTGAAAGTTAACCCCTGTAAAATAATTACGTTGGTGTAATTAGCACCACTTGAATGGGTACGGTACAGAAAACTACCACTCATTGTTAAATGCACGGGTCAGACACTGTTCATCACTAAACAAATTCTTGCACTTGACTATCATGCATAAAAACGTTAACATATTTTTATTCCCAGTTTTAAAGCCTGATGCTGAGGTAGAAGCTTTTATTTTTGTTAAATATGCAGAACTCTCACATATTGTGACACTCCATTCAAATGGAAGGTGAAAGATTAATTTTAAGCTATTTTATCAATACAAACCATTTTGTGGTTTTGCAGAACATACATATTTGATAGTAATATTTTTGTCTGCAGTTTATTTTACGTGCTTACATAATCTAGTCATGAAATATTCTACTTTGTGCTCTTAGTATTTTGTATTTTTAATATAATCTAAAAGATTGTCTATAACTTGTATTTAAATGTTAGTGTTAATTAAAACATATAAGCTAGATTGGTCTGTCTGGGCAGTTGATGACATTGAATAGTATGGATTATGGGCAGTGAGGCATTATACCCAAGTAAAATGTGTCATCCCACAATAGGTTTGTCTGGTGCATTAACAAGAGTGAAAAGCAGCAAATTTTGAGTTTGTTCAGCAAAGACGTAAAGGTTAGAAATGAATCTAGAAATAACTGTTATAGTGAAGGAAGTAAAAGTAATGGGATCTGTGAGAATTTTTTTGTTTGTTTGTTTTTTATGTTTGTGGTCATGCAAATAGCCTGTTCCAAAGTTGTCATTGAAATTATACTCTTTATAGTTATCAGATTTCTCAAATTTGTTATGAACTTCAAAAGTCTATTTTGATGCCCATTTTGAAAATGATTTGGGACACAAGTTTCATGTTCATTGGCAGTTTTCCATAGAGTGCTCATTAGAGGCGTACCCATTTTTAACAGAATGCTCTGGTTCAATTCAATATTAAGCAATTTTATCTCCTCCAGTTTCAGAAACTACTGGAAACTGACTTCTGTTTTAGCACGCCTCTGATGTACACTGGAGGCATACCAACCCAGGCAGAACAATACTGGTCAAATTGGAAAATGATTTGAAAGGGCATGGATTTTTCTTGCTGCATCTGCGGCATGAAATTATTTGTGCCAAAACGGCAGAGCAGTTAAAGATGTGTGTGTCTGACGTACATAATCTTTTTGACTGGAGGATGGTTTCCAGTACTCTCCAGTGGTACCTTTTATTATTCTGTCGTGTAATTGCTGGATACATGAGGAGGACAATGTTGCATTTGTTCCAGAATGTAATTGTTAAAATCATATTGAAATATTTATGTACTGTATTTGATTTCCTCAAAATTATCTATGAAGAAGAAATTTAGATGGCAGTGTTTCACAAGAGCACTGAAAAAAGTATAAAATTGAGATATATGAAAAAGAAATGAAATGCAAACACTGGCACTTGGTTTGTTTTATAACAGGAGGCGTCATCAAGATTAGCTATAAGTAAAAATTCCTATTGAATTAGATTTTGTTTTTGAATTTTATTTGACATATAAAATTAAATGTACATAATTTTTTCTCATAGAAGAAATGTAGCCTTTTTACTAAGTTTGTGCAAAATCTTGTACGTCATGCCTTCAGCATATTAACCCCTGTGGAATATGCTGACAGCATGTAAAATAACGTCACAAAATACTAGACTTATTTAGGCTTGCTTGGCCTTAAGCCTTTAAGTTTCAACAACAATAATAATAATAATAAATCAAAATTAAAACAAAAGGTAACGGCATACAAATTGACTTTGTAAAAACCACTTGATCTGTTAACAATCGATCTAGTGCAAATATCTTCAACATCTTTATAACACACCATGTTATTATACTGCCTCTAACTGGTGTCCTGCCAAAGAGCAATAGAATCTAGTCCATCCTTATTTGTGTAATAAGCTAACCTATATAATGTGTCTACTGAATATCTTTCAACACCCTTGCTACAAAAATAACATGACATCATAAGTTCATTTGAACATCCGTTGCATATAATATACAATGGAATCCATTTTAAGGCATGCCTGAAGATCTTCTTTCAATTCATTGTCATTTTTGTAATCAGATCTTCGTCACAATTGCACTGATTAACATCGCCAATTGTTCTGTCACCACTTAACCAATATGAAACCACTGACAGTCCAAACTTGCACTAAAAATTAATTTTCAAGTCCAAATTTATATTATTCTAAAAGGAAGCATAATTTGGACGCTTTCAACAAGTGAATATTATATATTCAATACAGGTATTGCCTTGGAGGCTGTATCCCTTTGTGCCCCCCCCCCTCCCCCGTTGCTCCCCTGCCTTCATGCTACCCGTCATCCTTGCTACGCCGCACCATTACTCCTCTACATTCTTACTCCCATAGAGCAAATGTGACATAAAAAAATTCTCTAATACAAAAAGTTAGAGAAAATACTGGGAACCAAAAGGTAATTATATTTTTAATCCTCATTCAAAAATGATGAGGGGAGAGAAGGGCGCATGGGCATATGAATGTACGGTTATGAAAAGCAAACTCATCCTTGAACTGAGGACAATTTCTGTTGGAAGAACTAGAAGTAAGTGTGGTAATTTTTGTCTATGGCAAAAGGCAGAGACCTAAATTTGGTCAACATGACATAAAATCTGCAATAACATAGACAATTTCCAAACATTTTTCAAAGCTTTTTGAGTAAAGAAATAAATGCTAGACTTACAAAGCCTGGTCATCTCAAGATTTGTGCCAAGCCAACCATACTTATTAAAATTATCACTGACCAAAAAGCTTAATAAATTTACCTACATTAATATTTGAGTCAATAAATAAAGAAAAAAGCTTTAATGGAGCAGAACTACTTGTTTGACAATAGAATTCTTTACGAGTTATGCAAAGATTGGAGTTGAGCAATGTTCACAGAAGTTTCAGATTATACAACAGAATGATACCGTAATGCCTGGATCTTTTTAATGGGGAAAAAAAGATCAATCTTTCAGATAAATAATTTTGAAATGATTAAAAATTAAAATTCTACTTGTCTTGGTATTTTACTGTATAGAATAGAACCACTGGGTAGCATGCTTTTCAATTTTGTTGCTATCATTCAATATAGGGAATGTTGTAATTTCAAGAATTTTGTGACTTAAAAAAAAATTGTGAAAATCCATTTTCCCCATTGAAGAGATCCAGTCCTAACCCCATTTACACAGCTCCCAGGCATGCTGTGCCTGCTCTGACTGTAACTCCAGTTACACAGCACCCAGGCATGCTGTGCCTGCTCTGACTGTAACTCCAGTTACACAGCGCCCAGGCATGCTGTGCCTGCTCTGACTGTAACTCCAGTTACACAGCACCCAGACATGCAGTGCCTGCTCTGAGTGCCTACTCTGACTATCCGACTTGTGTGGGTCTTATCTTCTACCTCACTTTCCACTCCAGCCCAGCTCCTTTAAAGCCCCTCGAAAGGCTTCGTCTAACTTTCCGGGTGCTTGTTCCAACAGTCTGATAGGCAGCACTATTCCATGGTATCCCATGTTACGCAAATATTGCAACTTCATCTGCTCCCATCCATTGAGTTGTGATCGGTTAATCAAGAAATGCCTGTAATGGAGAGGCCTCACCGCTATCCGTCTCCAAACAACAGAGGAAGAGGACGGGTGCTCTCTCCTCAGTCGTCCATTTTTGTCTATCAGTGGCGGCACTTGCTTCATGTCTATCAAGTTCCCCTTGCAATCCAGACACATTTCCAAGATGACAGTGCGCATGGAGGGCATGGGAAGTGTCCTAATCTTCTCCTTGCCTACAGCGCCCTCTAAGACATGCAAGAGAAACCTGAAGTCCGTTCTATGGTACATAGTTTTTGTATAATTGACTGCATATTGCACTGCTGGCAGTTTGAACATGCTTGTTGGTATTCTCGCAATGTAATGATCCAAGAAGCCAATGGTCTCAATAGCCCCATAGATTTCCAACAGTTGCATGGCATTCCATATTGACCTCTTAGTTAAAGTCAGGAACTCAGCCTGCAAAACCTTCTCCGTATCTGGGTCAAACAGCACCTGCATGGAAGTAACAAACAATTAGCTTCAGAAAATTTAAGTAGGTAAACTGCAAGTGGGAAATACACAAGGATATTAAGTTAATATAAGGTTTTCCTATATGACTGGTACTGCTCTTGACTGCCCTTAACTCTGTCTCCATAGAAAAGACGATGCTAACTATTTAAAAATTCTAAGTCTAAAATATTAGCAATGTCTATACTGTTATAAAACAGAAACATGACAGCAAAGCTGTTTAATGTACAGACATAAAGCAGTTCTAAATAAACAACCTAATTATTGTGTAAGTTTTTTGGTAAATTTTGATGCAATATTACATGCTTAATAGCATGATCGCCTTCAAAGTAACATCAGTATTCAAAATAACTTACTGGCATATGGCTTCAGGCCCATGGACGGGAATTCAAAGCCATACATAGAAGACACTAATGTTTTACAGACTTTACAAAAGGCATCGGACTGTTCGACATGCTTGACAAATTTTGTCTCGGTAATAAACAACTTCTTGTGCAAATAGTTTTTTTTTCCAATTTTTTTTTAAATTTAATTATTTTTTCAAAGTGCATGAAATGCAGCTACATTGTCTATGATTGAAAACAATTATAATAAATACACCTGAAAACATAAAAAGAAAATATTGTTGTATTTCTATAATTTTGCTTCAGTCTGAGGGCTTTTGTTTTGGTCTGACAAATTTTCAAGTTTGTCAGACAAGGACAAGGGCTTCAGGCACATGATGATTCAAAGCCACAATTTGGAAGAGCCAACTGGTGATTACTGATGAAAAATTGGTGAAGAAAAATTAAATAACTTCTAAGAAAAATACCTTAATAAAAGCTCCTATTTGAACTGGCTGACGTTTATTTTTGTGCCATAATTCACTTGATAAGCAAGTTTGTGAAAAATACCAGTAAGTCATGTAGTCTTTCCAAATATTGCATTGAAAAGTCCATGGTGACAACAACAGAATCTGATGCAGGTGGCAGCTTTTATGTACAGACAATATATGTGTCTACACATAACATTTCATTTAACTGGACTGCAACTAATCTATTTTAGGTCAGAGCATCTTCTTTGACTAGACTAATTTATTTGCCAAGAGTGTATTAATACGTCGCTAAAGGGGGAGGGGATACTTTAAAATGACAAAGCACTAATTTAAAACTAAAATAATAAAAGGTCAATACCTCCAACAAGCTCTCCGATATCTCATGACTGCCTAAAGCAAATGAGCCCTTAATCAATTTCAGCAGCTCACTTCCACTTTTTCTTGGCTTCAAGATACATATAAACCTCGGGTCCTGTACCAACTTTGTGATTTTTTTGACACAATGCACATCTGGGATACAGCCAGACCGCATACTGGCATTCAACATTGGATTCAGCAGCTTTCTGGTCAAGTGGGCTACTCTTTGTGAGTCATGAAAGGCTTCTTCCGCTTTCTTGAGTAGAGGTGGGCAGAGGTAGTTTTGCCTGGACACTGCAGAACTTAAAATGACTAATTCCACTGTGGTCATTGCCTGACACTGTATATACAAGGAAATAGTGGACATCAGACTGACCACCAGCTTAGAGTGCTGCTCCATGTTGGTACGTTGTGCAAACAAAGCGTCCAAAAAATTGCATGTCAAACTCACATCCAAATACTTACTGGCCCTAGCAAGTGTCTGGATATGCTTCAGTATGTCACTCAAGACAGAAAAGTTTAAAACCCTCTCTGCCATCACATTTGCCCTCAAAAATAAGTTCAGGTTATAGTTAGGCCATGGTTCATCTCCCTGTTGAAAAAGATCTTTCTCTACAATGGCCAATAAGGAGGCACTCAAGTCAATCAGCTCATCAGCTACAAATCCATTCAATGAGTACTTGCTGAGGCAAAGAACATCTATTGTACCACACAAGAGATCAATTTCCACTGGCGTCAGGTTCAAGGAATTATCGGCCTTTATTAGACTTTTTAAAAAATGCACTATCTCCTTTGTCATCACTTCGTAACTGCAGTCATGGACCATCGATAATAAAAGCCACTCCTTGGCATGACGCAAACGATCTGCTACAGTCCATCGACGCCACAAAGGGCTCATCCAATACTGCAGTTTGTCAAAAAATGGATGGAAGGTGCTGCTGATATACTGGCCAACGTACAAAATATCATTCACCTCACTTGAAGAGGAGCTACCTATAAATTCTTCAGAAATTTGAGAATTGAGAATGTTTTTCAATTCAACTTCATATAACTGGTCTTGCTGCAACTTGGCTTTTTCACTAATGGACTGCTGGTACATGGCAGTGCAAGCAAACATATATTGCATCACATTTTTCCTGTCCACATTTCCAGCTTGCTGAAACTCTTTATATTCTTTTTCGACTAATCTAGTTGAAGAAGCAGACAAGTGCTGCCGAAACCTGTCAGGCAATTTCTGCAAGTGAAACCTTTTCTTAGGTGGAATAACTTCACCTCCTCGGCTTGCATAGTCACTTACATAACTGTCCTTGGGGTCAGCGTTGTATTGTATGTACCGATCTTCACTTTGTCGTGTTAGTCCCAAACAGTCGCCCAATAGAATACTGCCATTTGAGCTGCAATTTCTACTGTAGATGGCACTGCACTTTGGCTTCAGGCTGAGAAGGGTGGTTTTCACTGCATGCTTCAAGGCCATAGTACCACGTATGATCTCTCACTTTCTCTGCATCTATATTGTAAATTCTCAGTTGTGACTAGAACTTCACTACTAAGTCCCAACTTGGTTGTATGCCTGACATCAAGGGCACTTCAGTAACTACCTTTCTACTACTGTCCTCTTTTTTTCTCAGCAGCATTGTCTCTTCTTGCTGATTAAACAGGTCTCTTGAAGATAAAATTTGCCTTGATTTCCTAAAATGTATATATTTTATAAATGAATCAACAATTACAGTATAAAGGTTTTAATTCCATTTATATTATGGCATATACATGTACAGTACTAGTACATGTACAGTAAAGCAAGGCTTATAAACCAATAAACAATGATACCAACTATTGTATGTATTGTAAGTTGAAGACAATGGAATTCTCTCTGTCCCTTTCCCTTGTTTATTTGTTAACCATTATTTTCTATAAAAATTAAATCTTATAAATTCATGTAGTAATGATACTCGATCGTTCCTTTATAAATACAGTAAACAGGCGTTTGTAAGTAAGATAACAACAAATAACGAACGGGGAGAAGAAGCTTAAATGCTTTCTTGTCAAGTTAGATTACCTTTCCTTTGAACAAATTCTGTTTTAGTCACGTGTATTGTGCACGACTACCTCATGCCATAGATCGTTAAACAACTAGTGAATTTAGTATTGGCATTAATTGTAATTCACCCCCCCCCCCTCCCCCCTGCCCATTCAGAGTGCAACTTAGTGCTTTCTTTGGCGTTGTTGTCAGTTTCTTGTTACCTTCAATATACTTCAACTTTTCTGCACGGAAAATCAATTCGTTCACATCATTCCGATACGATCATTTATCTAGGCATGTGATCTCTTTTCATTACTATTACATGTGCCCAATGCACCGGCCATGTGCATTGCTAAGGGAAGAGAATTAACATTCGATTTCTATTGGTCGAAATTATGTTGTCTCCAAACATCTCGCGAGAAGAAACATGGAGGACCGAAGTTGTCATGAAAATAAAATTATTTCCATTTTTTCGTTTATTCCGTAAACTCTTCACAATTTAACGATGAGTGGGGGCTTAGCGCCAAGCAAGAGCACAGTTTATGCATCCAATCTGCCTTTCTCCTTGACGAATAACGACATTCACAAGATATTCGAGAAATACGGACAAGTGGTGAAGTACGTTGTCCCCCTTACGCGATATAGGCTCCTTTCACATCGTGCAGTATACAGTCTGTACCGGTCCATTTTGAGAAAATATCTGGCCAATACTTAAGAAAAAAACCACCTCTGGTCTATGGATTAAGCCCCGAACTCAACACGGCCAATTATTATAATTCCGCCCAAACAAGAAGCGTAAATCAGTAATTAAATGAAGCGTATATTACATGTTAGGTTTTCTGAGTCTCTGTTGCATCGCACAAGTTTACCACCTGATGTTGAAAGGGTTATAAACTTACCCTATCACTTCATTTACTTTTGTTCTTTGTGCATTATGTTGTAATAATATTACTAATTAAGCAACCACTAATGAAGCTGACATGCTAAATGTATAGTATAGAAGTAGAAATGATAATTTCAATAAATGATGAAGAAGTAATTTACAATTAAAATTTCATGGAATTGGTTTACATTTGGATTTTGCAGTAATACATTACAACATGTATAAATTGGGCACTTAAAAGTAACGTGTTGCAAAAACTTTCAGGGTCACCATTCTGAAAGACCGTGACAGAAAAAGTAAAGGTGTGGCCTTTGTACTTTACCTGGATAGGGATGCAGCTCACAGAGCAGTGAGGGCATTGAACAATACACAGGTAAATCTGCAAATATGTATGTGTGTTTTTATGTGTCTGTGTTTGTTTGCCTATAATCAAATCAGTTTTGCCTTGATAGAGACAATGAACAGGAAGAAAAAACAGATGAAAGCATACCACCTTCCATGAACTTAAGTAAAATATGTGTTTCACCATTTGTGTTTTCAGATGTTTGGAAGAAATCTGAAGTGCAGTATAGCCAAAGACAATGGAAGAGCTTCTGATTTCATTCGCAGGAGAGATTATCCAGACAAATCCAAATGCTATGAGTGTGGGGTAAATATAATTATATAATTATGTAATTCTCATGTAATGAATTTATGTCAAAATTGTCTTCAGAATTCATCAGGCTTGTATTACTTTTAAATTAGCTAGAATACAGGATAAAGATATATTTTCCAAATGGCTTGCCAGCCTCTAGTTGGTTAAAAGTTCTCAGTTTGGAAATTTTAACTTCCTAACACATATTACACTACACAAGATTGAAAAGAATCTCAGAAATGTAAGCTTTTATTTGTAAAGCATTTATAACTGACCATTTTGTTACCAAGCATCACATTTACCTATTGAAAAAGGGATGCGGTAATTAATCTTATTATTATTATTTTTTATGTATTTATTTTTTTCTATTGATAAGGAGCCTGGGCACCTCAGCTATAATTGCCCAAAGAATCTGCTGGGAGAGAGGGAGCCACCCAAAAAGAAAGAAAAGAAGAAGAAAAGAAAAGCAGAGTATGATTTTCAATCACATTAACCTTGACTCTTATGATCACAGTGTGGTAATCATTCCTGTGTACATAAAGAAAGTTGACTGTATAGCTTACAAGTATTAGATGATTTTGTAAACGTAATGCAAGCAAGATCATGATCATATTGTAAAGGCAAAAAACTACTTTAAGAAAATGCCAGAACTTCATTTATGGAAGAAAAAAATTATTATTATATATTTATTATAGCTAGATTTGATCAGTGATTTTACTCTCATCTAGAATTTTTATTAACATATGTGAGGAAATGTAGTAAGTATGATAACTGTGGCCATTTGATAAGTTGTTATTTGTAGTTACATGAAATATTGGAAAAATTCCAATCAGCATGCAAACCAACAGTATTATTAACCATATTACTGTAACATTGATAATATGTGTATAGCATTTATTAAATCAAAATTATGTTTCATGCTTAGGACTTACTGCCTAATGCTTAAATCTTCAGTAAAGGACTGATTGCATTCAATTTTATGTGTATAGGGACAATGAAGAATGGGATGAGGAGGAGGATGAAGATGATGCTGTCCCTAGCCTTAAAGAAGACAGTTTGTCTGCGGCAATTAAATTCCAGGTAAGATCTTATGTTTCAATTGAAAAATTGGCCACAAAGGCAAAGTTCACAACTAGGGATCACCCCACGAGCACACACCTCTGCCAAAAATACAATAAAAATACTTATAAAACCTTTTAAGACCGGAATTCAGTTGAAATTATAAAACCTTTTAAGACCGGAATTCAGTTGAAATTGAATTTAATCACTTCTTTCTCTTCTGAATGTCTATCCTAAAAATTTCAGTAGACATATTTTTGGAGAAATGTGAAATCTTTTGCACTAACAAACAGACAAATTAATGCCTAGAAAAGCATAACCTCCTGCATCATTTAAGATGAAACTCTTTTATATTCTCTTGATAAAACACAGTAACTGTTGGGTCTCTTTTTAATGTAAAAAGTAGTAGGGTATGTAAGTGTAGTAAGGAAAACACATAAAGATGATCTATCTGCCCTGTACTGGGTATTTTATGAGATTGAAATAAAATTTTATATCATTTGTCTCATAATTTCAATTAATTTAGACATGAAGAATTATCTAAATTGATGTCTTATGAAGATGACAATACAGGAAGTTTAAATGTATGCATACTTTAAGATATATGCACTATAGTTAGAGAATTTGGAAAGAGAAGTGTGATATGACATGTAGCAGGATCAATAAAACAGACACAAATTAAAACATCTAAAAATGCAGATAAAATGTGAAATTTCATGTTGGTCACTCAAGGTCATTTGGTCATTTCAGCAAGAGAAGATGGAGGCAGAGTACCAGTACAGGCTGAGTGTTGGGGCCTCTCTGGGGGGCAGTGGGGAGACCAAGAAAAAGAAATACAAAAAAGATGCCTACTTCAGTGACGAGGAGGAGCTTAGTGATTGATGTGGGATCATCTTGAGAGTGAAAAAATATTTTAAAAATTGTTCTTCTTCAAGGAGGATTAATTTTAATGGAGAGTAGGAGCTGAGAGAAAGGGAGAACCCAAAGAAAGTCTATGAAAGACAGCAAATAGGGATTTTTTTCAGTGAGGAAGAGTAGTCCATTGGCTGACACTGGACCATCTTTAAACACCGAAGAAATCTACAGACTTGATACAGGTCTATGTCAACGCAAAATTAGTCGACTTCATTATTGAAGGGGACCTCAGCAACTGAAAAAAATATCTCCGGTAAAAAGACAGAAACCAAGTGAATAGAATGACCATTTAAGTAAATCGTATTCAAAAAGGAGTTCAGTTGTTCATGGTGGGAAGAATGGAGCCCAAGGAAATAGAGGGGAAAAAATGAAAGATGCCTGCTAAAAATTTGTAACCTATGAAATACAGACTGAGGGATTTATGATGGAAAAATAAAATGCTTTGAATGCTGGACACACTGCATTATGTCCCAGAGACATATAGGTGCAATGTTCTGCCCTCTTTTCCTGTACTTACCCATCTACATTAACAGCACTGTGAAGTTGTAGTAAAGTACAGAATTTTGTCTAGTCTTTGAAGTCTCACACTACACAGTCCAATTGCCTTCAAGATCACTTTGAGTACATTTATTATTTATATTGACTTATATTTACTTTTAATTAATGATGTAAAATATCATGGGTTTTACTAGCTGCTGCTTGTTTGGTCATATAACAGTTATGACAGAGAAAATATACTTTTTGAACAGCCTTGAAGTAACCTGATCTTACAAGATATGGGGTGTGGGAAAGGGGCAGAATTTTTAGTGGTTGACACTACTTCTATAAAACTTGTCTTTGTCTCTGAAAGTTTACACCATACACCACAGGTGATACGTAAAGCATCAGAAGTGGACTAGTGAGAATCTAAAATAATTTTATTGAAATAAAATTATTTAAAAATTCTAATTGATTTGAAGACTTCTCTTATTTAAAACTTTTCTTTACATTTTCTTTTAATACATCAGTGATTACGAAAACTTGACATCAACAGGATATGCAAAGCATTTTTATTGAACATAGTAATTCATTACAGGAGCTGCTTCAATAATATCTATATTGATATTGTCTTCATAAGTTACTATTATAATTATATCAACATGTCCACTAGTTTTGTTATCTTGCTTGAAACCTTTTTCTTGAAAACATTCACACAAAAATGGAACTGTTAAAACTGCCAGCTACGACTTCCTAAACTAGGAGTAGTCTCCTAAAACTCGTGCAAATCTTTATTTACACATGAAGTGAGAAATAAAATGAATAAAAACTAGTTTGTTTTTATTCCAGATCGGATGCATTTGTTACAGAGGTGGAAATTATCAAGTTACATGCTAACCAAAAAGTCATCTTATTTAGTTTTTAAGATAGCGTTACGTAATCGTATAAAGCAGCATTCTGACTAGCCCAATACAAATGTAACCCATCAAATATTTTCATCTAACATCAGTTGTCTGGCTATGCAAGTTGGAGCATTTACCAGTTATTAAAAGCCCCAAGGTGGGTTCAGTTATGATAGTAGTGAATCTGTGTTGTTACATTTAATAGGAATGAGGAGTTGATAACATCAGGAGGCTCACCCTATTGCTAACAACCAACATTTATATATAAATTATATAGGATGTCAGTCTTTTTCCTTTAATGCTTACAAGTAAAATGCAGACTAAAAAATATTGATAAAAATTGCCTCTATTGTCACCAAAGGCTGACAAGTTAAATAACACATTCACAACATAAAAAATAGAATAATTAAGACTGATGATGATTATTTATTATAGGGACATTATGTAGCTCTGCCAGATTTTGAAGTGATGATCCTAACTGTTTTAAGTGCTTGAAGCACACCGATTACTTCATATTGCAAGTAACAAACTATAAAGATGCTAAAGGACTGTTTAGACCTTTTAAAAGCCACAAAGAGAACAAATGATGAATGTAGCAGTTGGGCTAATCACTTTCTGTTCATGATTGTTAACACATCTTCAATATATTTATATAATACATAATATAACACCTTCACAGCAGTTTGGAATATTTCTTCACAACCTTTAACGTAAATTAAACCCACCATCAGATAATAACATATCCACAAAAAGAAAAAATTTAAATACCACAATGTAATATATACATAAATTTCAGGTTCTTTCATTGACACCCACCTCATAATATATATAGCAAATGAATAATGAGTGCTAATGTGGCAAGTTTGTTGCAATAAAAATGACTGGTCCAACGTGTAACGGAATGTAACAATTATTATTATTGTTTTTAATTCATTACTGTTATCAACTTTCAAAAATACATGGGTGCATGTATCACCTAGTACATAATCTCAGGATGCTCCTTGAAAAATTTCATTAAGAAACAATTAGAATTTAATAACTAAATATAATTGCTCTCTCTCTCTCTTTCTCTCTCTCTCTCTGTGTCTCAGAGAAACAAAATCGATATATTCTCTGCAAGATGAAGGTGCCTTTCTTGGTAACAAATTTTAATTTGTGACACCAAAAAAATAAATAAATAAATAAATAAAATAATAAAATAAAAAAATAAAAAAACAATAATAAAAAAGTCACACAACAACTCTCTTTTCTACAATAAAATTAACTGCCACACATGAAAAAGTCTTCAAACAGTCAATCAGACATCCGCATATTATCAAAGGAATGCAATTACTCCCAACATGTTGTAAAAAAGCAGAACTGAAAGATTATCAATAATTGATAACCCGATTTATATATGACCATATTTGCCAGTCATGCACTTACTTAATTACATCAAAACTGACTAGTTTTCTCATGGACATCAGTTTTTTTCTAACAAAAAAAAAAAAAAAAAAAAAAAAAACTGGCCCCATTTTCATAAAAAGTTGGCAATGGCTGAGATTGAAAATTTTTAATGAAAGAAATTTCTGTGATTTTCTTCTCCAGATGTGTCCTTCACCAACTACATGCTACTTAACTGACCTTAATAACCATCAGCTAAAATATCCTTATCAACATAGGAACCCACAGTGCAGAATAAATTAGTTGTATTGGTAACTATAACTTACATTAAAGATGTTTCAAAAGAGGTCCTTTTCAGGTCCATCATAAATATCTACACCCTGCGTTTCAGAGCACAGACTGATTTATCTCACTAATGACAAAGGATAAATGATAGAATGTGTTAGTTTTTAGTATTCTTAAACCCAGGGTGCTTTTGAATCCTTTCCTCTCCATCCCTGATCAAAATCTTAGTCGAAAATGAAAAAAAAAAAAAAATCAGTCAAGCAAAAATTACAGGTACATAGCTCATACAGTAAATGTCACATCAAGTGGCATGACTAAGGGTGCATTCCCAGAGATTTAGATCGATCCAGAGATTTAGATTTAGATCAACCTAACTCCCTGGGTGTTCACGCTAAATTGCAGTCAGCCGAGTGTGCACCATAGTTAATTACCCCCTTACAGCTTTTAGTAGGCAGGACAGATGCTTAAGCCGGCTAAGCTGACAGTAATCTAGTGAGACTCCCCACAGGGATAGATCGATCTAATATCTATGGGAATGGGGTCTAACTGTTGCAATAAGATACTATACTGGTTCATTTTGAGAGGTTGACAAGAGAGTTGCCTCAACAGAGCCCCAGTACTAGATGCAGCCAACTAAGCATGCAGGAAGCAAACAGGGAGTAAAGCAGTGGCAGCCTCTGTAGAGTAATTACATGTTAAAATCAGCATACAGCACAGGTACAGCTGTATCAGCACATACACAAGGCATCTGCATTTTGTCTGTGTGAATATCTGTGAAATATGTTCATTTCCTGCAGCAGACGTCACTGGGTGGGTCTCTGATGGAAGACGTCATTTCTTCAACTGTGATGCTGGTGCTCAAAACTGAATTTGTCATCACTAGGAGCTTCTTCAATGTATGCCTTAAAACATCAATAAATTGCAATCCAGTGATCACCCACGTTCAAAACCATAACGTTTGAGGGTGTTGATAATCCAAAATATGTACCTCAGTGATTCGCAACCATTTGCTAATTACAGTACATTGTAAGATAAGGGTTCTTCCCATCAAATGCCAAGGTGGACACAACTCCATCAAAACTTTCATCTCACTGGAAATTTACATGAGTCTCTGCACCATTTGAAAGAAATCTTATGCTGAACCACTCAAAGAGATCGCCAAGATATCAAACTGTCATGTCACAATGTGATCCTCATGTTGATTTCCAAATGCTATCTGGACTGCTACGTGTCGGTGATTTTACTTTATTTTGAAGTACATTTGAGTTCACTTGTTTTTAAATTTTTTCCCAAACTGATGTCCCTTTGAGATGGCTGTCAGCTGAGTATGTCACCCCTTCATTGTGAGAGAGATACTCAATGTCAGTTTGACATGCCGTAAGCTTGGCTCTCACCTGGGTTTGTGATTACTATGCCAGTTCTGTACCCCAGTCTGCTGGGTGTGACATTGTGCTGATTGTGTTATATGTGCCACAATGTTGCTTCTGGCTGTCTGCATGCTATAGTCACCAGCTGATCCAGGATTTTGTTACAAGAGAGGAGGGGTGCAGGGTATGCGTAGATGAAAAAATGCACCCATCTCCCTTTAAAAAAAATATCCATTGCGATTCTATTCACACATTTCCCCCTAGTTTCTTTTACCTTAATGTATCCTCTAGTTCTCCCACAATGATTTCTGTTTTGTGGTGTATCCCATAATGCTAACAATTTTTCCATGATGCCAACAGTGTTCTATCCCATAATGCAAGATGTGCTGGTTATTTATAATATCCATCTGGTATTCAACACCATTATATTTCAGTATATATATATATATATTAGCACCAATGTTCAGTGATAAAGTTCCTGCCGATATGGCGTTGACATTGATACACATAACATTTTAATCTGGTCAACAGCAACAACAATGACATTGCAGAAGCATGGCTGAACACTACAATGGCTGTGGGCACCATTTATTTTTCATTCTGTGTATCATTTTGAGGTCCCTGGTTTGGGTTGATATAAAAACCATGGCACATAGTGTGCTTCATCATTTGGTGGGGAGAGTGTCCCCGTGTTTTTCTGATATGCTTCTGGACCTGATTTTTTCTCCAACTTTGACAAACTCTGGCTTGGCTTCTTCTTCTTCTATAATTTTGGTCTGTTTTTGTTCATACTGGAAAAATAGGTGTGAAATTTTTTAATATGAAATTATCAAAATTTAAATGGCTACAAAGCAAGAAATAATACTAAATTCTACAATCATAGATACAAACTTCAAAAATGCAATTTTAATATGAATACTCAATGAAAAATATTTTTCAATCAGTATCAGAGTTTATCATTGCCCATCTGCTCTTACAAATGAAGTACTTCTTTCTCCCTTTTTTTTCCCCTAAATTCCACCCAGAATCTTGTACCTCTTTCAATTTTTCTGCCTGTTTTTCCAGTTGAACCTCCAGGCTTGTCCTGTTTGCCTTCCTCTCAGCATCCCATTCCTTCACCCTCCTTGATTCACTTCTCTTTGACAGCTCGCGCTGTAGTTCTGGCTTTTTTAACACATCTACTCCTCTGTAAACAAATAAAATTCATTATCTTAAATGAAAATAATTACAGTAATTACTCAATCTTTTCAATGGGCAAAAATTATCAAAATTTAAGATACATAATTAAATAATCACAAAGGTATATTTCAAAATAGCATTTGTGGTGCTTAAACTGCATAGAATAGAACTATAGAGTAGCCTGCTTTTTTAACTTTGTTATACTCAATAGGAATTTTCTAATTTGAAGAAAGTTTGAATTAAAAAATATGGTATCTGTAAAATCCACATTTTTCCCCGTTGAAAAGCTTGAGTTATTACCGTATATTAAATTCTTTAGACTATTAATTTAATAAAATGAAAATAATATACAGAAGTAATGTTTCCCAAAACTGAGCACCACAAGACAATACCATCATATTTAATAAATTAAGCAAATGGCAATGTTCGAAATGACAACCAGTTGAATGCCATTACTTACCGTTTCGCATTCATCAGCAGCTCTCGGTGAAGCTCCATCCTATCCCTGGACTCTAGACATGGGTTTTTCAGCTTCTTAGGCTCTATGAGGCCAACAGGTTTCCCCGGCTCCGACACACTCCTGTGGTGTCTATCCATCTCATCCTTTTCTCGATCTTTGGACTTTTGATTAGAAGAGCCATTAGGCATGGGGAGAGTTTTTATTTGAAGTTCGTTAAATCCTAGAGCATCCTCGTCTTCATCGTTGTAATCTGGCTCTGGGACATCAGGTAGATCTGTGATGTGGAAGAAAAAATGTTAACTTATTGGTTATATAATAAATATTTAGTACCCACTTTAACAAACAAAGATTCTGCCATTGGTTAAAAATTTAAAATAAATAAATAAATTAAGCACAAGAGCAAACTATGTGCAACCTCCCTTAATATAGAAGTGCTCCAATACACAACAGCTGTATGATCGTTTAACAGTATGATCGACAAATCTGACACCGAATCTTCAACGAGGGTACAGAACTCATAAGGAAACAATGCATATGGCCTGCAGCATTTTACCAATATAAATAGGGTGATAAGCAACATATTTTTTCCAAACATTTCTGTAGATATGAATTTGAACATATAAATTTAATTTGATGCAGTTCAAGCAAAATGATTACATGCATTAAACATAACCAAAAACTTAAATCACTGATCAGACACAGGTATTAACAAAATAGCAAGGAAATGACATTTTTAAAAACTATATACAGTAACATGCAGAAAAAGAAAACAAGACTAAAATGAATTCAAACATGAAATCATTTCACCCGGGTGTCACAGCTCCAGTTATATTGTACAGTAATTTTCTATAATAGCTGTTAGTGTCATGCTGACCCAGGGTGCAGGATATTAGCGTCTTTCAACTTATTGAACACTGAAGCGACTGTCACGAAAATTGCACTTACTCCAGCAAAATATCTAAGAAGTTAAAACATGCATACTCATATAAACTGAAAATAATTCAATGTTTAAGTTAATAAAGAGAAAGGAACAGACCTGTGAAACAAGTGTTTTGTTTAATGTGGTTAGTTTTACGAATTTGAAATGAAAACCAAAACCTGTTACAGTAACTGAAAATGAAAAGAAATCAAAACCATGGAATTAAGAAAAAATTGGTTATACTAAGTATGTTATGTAAATGTAATAATACTGGTTAGCAAAATTATCATGACATTGGTTAATTATCTCCCTCTCTCTCTCTCTCTCTCTCTCTCTCTATTATAAAATAAAATCGGTTTGCATAGTAATGTTTTGTTAACTATAATGTGGCAAATTCTCTCTCTCTCTCAAATCTTCCATTCACTCCATATCTGTGTTGTATACATCACCATTACCTTGTACCATTAGTAAATGAAGAATATTCTAATATTCTCATAAGCTTCATATCCTTGGTTAATAATGAAGACAAAACAGCATGCCTGCAATATGTATGAGTTGCTACAATATATGAACTAAATCAAACCAGGGATAACAGAGAACATGCCCATGCCACTGACAGAGAATTAGTGCTGAAATGTTAGAAAAGACTCTCAGACATATCACATATGACACAGTCACGGCTGGGGATTTACCGTCGTCTGGGGTGACCGTTTTGGCCCACTCTTCGTATGGTATCATCACAGGAACTCTGGGATACCCCTCTGGCTCGCTGGCATCACCGTTCTCGTCGCTATCAACGTCATAGTCTGGCTCCAGACTTATACGCTTATAATAGTTCATCTCATCTGAAAGCAAGATGGCAAATATGCAGATCAAGCTCTAGGAGGCAATATCATTAATACCATGTGAAATCAGGCCAAAGCTATGAATTCTCCATTTCTCATGATAACCTTCTCGGCTCATAATGAATCAGTTTGTCAGGAAAAATGGCTCGTAATTAAGTGGAATTTATTAAGTTATGGTCACTGTACTTTTAATTATAGTACAATATGAAAATGAAATGATATGTGATTGTATTGGAAAAAAAACAATATATATACTGTACCACAAAAGAATATTTCATAATCATAATGGATCAGGAAAGTGCCAATTTTAATGTTTCTCTTGCAATTAATGACAAATATGTAAATGTCAAAACACAATTTTTCATTTTGGTATTGCAGTTCATATTGAATGCCACTTTGAAAAGACACAGAAATAGTGAATATACACCAATTTTCGCTTATAAATCACAACATAATTGCATTTCGCACAAAATATTACATGAACATGCAAAATGGCGACATGCATGTGACAAGATGCACACACATCAATCTGAAATCAAAAATATCTTCTACATAAAAATTCACTTAAAGCAATTCTCACTGAGTTCATTTGGTCCTTTATCTGCAAATTAAAGTGAGGGTTTAGTCTAAGCACTGTCAACATAATGCCATGCTAGGTATCATTTGATTTATTTATTCTGTTAGCCTTTAAGGCAAAATGCATGGAATCTCTACGTTGCAATATCATATAAATTCTCTCAGAGCCTCTATAATAATAATAATATGCAAGCCATTCTGCCTGTAGAGGCTTAGCATGTGACATACACAAAGGGGCCAACCTGACTCGGCCAGCAAAAATGGTCCAGGAGTTGTGGAATAATACGCAATCCTTTGGAGAATGGTGAGATAAAATTCTGCCAATATTTTGTCAGGCCCATAGCCAGGAATTTCAAAAGGGTGTTTTTTTTTTCCTTTTTTTTTTTCAGAAAAAAATGGACCTTTTACCATGGAACTTCTGTTTATCTAGATAAAATTTTACTCATAGGGGATCTTTTCCGGCAAAAAAGGAGGTTCTTTTGAACCCTCTGAACCCCCTGGCTACGACCTGTTTGTAATATGCTGTCATAATGACACCTTATAAAAATGCCACAAAAATGATCCTCCAAGCATAGATAATGCCAAATCTGCTTTAATATGGAGATTTTAGATGACATTTCAAAGGGCTGAACCAAGTGGATTCTGCTCTAGATGTTGTGAACAGCATAAAATTATCTAGTTGTCTAGTTAATTGTCTGTCAGAGTTTAGCCAATATGAATGGAAATGACACACACACACACACACACACACACACACACACACACACAGAGTTTATAATAACTTCTTTTACCAGCCCGACAGCCTCTAATACATGGTAAACAATCGGTTTCTCTTACCACAGTCCATACAACAAAGAACCCAGCTTTCTGACAGCCCTTTCAGTCGTAAAGCACAATTTCTCAAAGTGCTGACACAAGATAATGCTAGACATGCTAAGTAATAATTAAATTTACTGTCCTCATAGGCAGTGTGAGAGCTTATGTACGGTAATGGCTAGATTTTTTCAATGGGGAAAATTTTCAATCTTTCAGATACATAATTTGAGAGTCACTAAAAATTATATTCTGTGTAGCATTTTAGGCACTTTTACTAGGCAGCAAAGAACTATAGGATAGGCTGCTTTTATATTTGCAAATTGTTTCTATCGCTCAAGAGGCATGTTCTAATCTAAAGAATTTATGTATAAATACAGTATCTGTAAAATTCACAATCCATTACCGTAATGCTCATCAATACTAAGGCAAGTGGTGAATTCTCCAGACAATGCATACTCAGGCAGTGATTTTTACATGAAAAACTTATTCTAGTTATCAAAATGAAACTTTTGACTCATTCATTTAGATTGCCACCATGTGACATAAGTGACAGCTTAAGTTCAGTTCATCTGAAGAGGACCTCAGTGATAAAGCTGAAACATTGTTACCTCCATTTCAAATGAAAGCTCTAGGACAAGATTTATAATAAGAATAATTCCATTTTTATCGTACATAATGATCTAGAACCTACTTAGGTCAATTAATCAAAATTCAAATATATTCGACTGAAGACATATAATTTTATACAGTAGCAGCTTCAGCAATAATCATTACATCCTCTACATCAACACTATTTAGATGTTTCTAGCCAACAGTTTCAGATAAGCACTGGTAGCTTACCTTTACCATAACTCCTTACAATTTATCAAAATTCTAGATTTCATGCTGAAATTCCAACCAACAGCAGCTGTTTCAGTGAACCCAGCACACTTACTCTGTGCTGTCTGTGAAAAAGGAATCCTTACTTACTGAAGACCTATAACAATGGTATATTTTTCTGATAATCAATAGCATTACTTCCCAGATTGCCACAGTGGAATGAAACATTAACAGCTGCACAGTGATTTGATCCTTTCTTTAACTTCATAGTAAGACCAGAAGATGTATACTTGAGAGATGCCTCCATATTTCAGGGCAGTTAATCGACTTTGTCATAAAATAAGAATATATATCATCTTTCTTTTAAAAGCCCTTTTCATATTGAGGGGTACACTTAACTATAGACTGGTCTACCCTGAAAGAGATTTTTACTCTCTTTTACAATTTCCCAACAAGTTATTATTAACAATTTATTGATTAACTGGCCGTGTAGAGTATTTTAATATTATATAATAATATCACTTTACTGACAATACCACATGTCTTTTTAAAATTTTCAGGCTGTTTTATTTCAGAAGTTGAGAGGACTGGACAAGTTCAGCTCTGATGATGAAAACGAGCAAATTCCAAGAAATGTTCCACAAATATTTCACACAGCAGTGCCTTGTTACACGACCTGCATGGCTGTGCGGGGTTTTTTTTTCTTATTATTTTGCCTATGACTAACAAATAATCTAAGTGATCATTTTACCAAAAAATTCTTCTCTTTCACTGTATTCAAGTGCTTTCTGGCAGCATTAATCATCTACTTTATCCACGGATGAAGACATAAGAATGCTTCTCAATGCTGTGCAAACATTACTCAAGCCTTTAAACAGAATATTAACCTTAAAACATCTCACCTCTTCTGCCAATTGCTTATTGATTTTTTTGCTTAAAACCCATATGCCAAGCTTTAAGTTTGGTATAGTTTTCCATACTATTGATTTCACAAATTCAAAATAATTAATGAGATGTAACTGTTAAGCAGCCCCATCGCCATTTTCAGAGCAATACTAGCTGCTGTTATTTTACACTTTAAAAGCATAATTAGAATCATTCATTTTGTTCCATCCACCTCTGAAGCAGCATATATGTCATTTTTTTCTACTTTGACATATTCATATGTGAACAATGCCAAAATTAGAGACAACAAAGGCAGACAAAATGACAGTCAGACAGGCAGACAAACAGACAGACAGAAGACGGAATCTTGCTCCATTAAAGCTCCTCATTAGTGAATCTAAAATGCCAAGATGAGTCAGACGTTGTAACATAAATTGTCACTTGGAATATCCAAGTCTTTGTTCTCTACAGGTATACAGAATAACAGTAATTAATCACCTTTCAGATCATATAAAACAGACTTGTCTCATCCTGATAATTTGAAGCTAGCTTTCCCTGCCTCTGTGAACTAATTGCTTTCCTGGGATGGATCTCCTTCAGGGTCAAATAATTGATGAAAAATCAATTTTCATGACAACCTACTTGTCAATTTAGATTTTTTTTTTTAATTTGGAGATTCTATTAAAATACTTTTGGTTGATTATTTACTAAATGTCTGGCTGTATTTAAAAGGTGGCAAATGATAAGACTTTCATTCTGTTTTCATATTGTTGCAAAATTACATTTTTTCTTTTCTTTTGTTTTGTATAATTGTCTGGTCAGGGGCTCCTTAAAGTTTGATTTTTTTTTACCAGAAACTACTATCCACATAATTCACTTAAATTCTCCATTTATCAAAATGCAAAGTGATAGTATAATAAATGCAATGCTTTAAACCATACAGGCATTAAATATGCTGAAAACAATATCATACATGGTGATTAAAAAACAATAAATATTTCAAAACATGCATGCTCCAATTAATATCCAAAGCACAACATATGAAGACCATGCAGAGCTTAAAAACAAACAAAACCTCTTACTGAATCTTGGACGGCATATGAAATTTGTACGAGGTCTAGGGATGGAAACAACTGAAAAACAAAGCATCATCTCTTTAGTTAATATGTATAAATAAAACAAGAATGAAACAGAATAAAAATGAGATATGGCAAAAGTACATTTGAGAGAGAGAGAGAGAGAGAGAGAGAGAGAGAGAGTACATTAAGTCCAAATAATCAAATTATTACCAAATCAATGCCAGCCTTTCCATGATATTAAGAGATAGAGATACGACTATGAGACCTTTTCAACAACAAGGATCCCATAGCATACCTTTAATCTAAAACAGTATGGAAAATAACAGTTATGGTAATGTACCAATAAAATCTCTTTAAAGAAACAGTCTAAGTTTAGACAAAACAATGGACAGCAATGACCCAGACAGATTGGCATCATGATCAAATGTCATTAATGCCATTAATAGCTTGGCTCAAGCACAGGTCAACATTAACATCTATTTCAGTCCAGTTGTCTTTAGGCCCCAGGCCAATTCAAAACTCAATTTCTCCCTAGATTTTAAGTCCTTCATGAGCTGGCTCATAATGTCAACAAATGGGTAAAACATGCTAGGAATTGCATGTCGAACTGACATTCTGTGTAGTAAGTGGCAGAATGTTTTCAGGGCGTAGCGAGTGATAGATATTTTTGCACTACTGGCACACGGGTTGTGGGGTTATGTTGTCACAACAAATATACAGTGTAGCATTGTTACACGACATTTTGTATTCAGTAGCAGCATAGCTACCTCTTGTACCTGTCATAAGGGTAAAGACATGAGTGTGTATAAGATAATGTTTGCATGCATGCATTTGTGTGTGTGCTTGTATGCATACCTTTGTATGTGCATGGTGTGTACCTGTACGTTTGTGTGCTTGAATACATACTCTTGTACATGTATTTTTAATACGTGTGTGTATCTGTGTGTATATGTTTGTACCTGTGCATGTGTGTACGTGTGTGGTTGTGTGTGCACCTGCATATATGCAAGTGTGCGTGCATGTGTGTGGGTAATTGCATGTACATTTATTTGTGGGCTTGTATATGCCTCTATGTGTACATTTATGCATGCACGTGATTTTTTTAAAGTCATTCATACTCCTATTTATATTTACTTTCAAATACATTCTAAGGTTACAAAGATTGTATCAGAGTTGATGTTCCCATCACAAGTTTCTTTTTTGGCAATAAACAGTGGTAAAAACTATCCTGTCGCCACTTAATGTTTACATTAGGGAGCCATGGTGATTTTATCTGTTGTGATTGCACCAAAATGAGTATCATTTTTCAGTAATAACCAGACCATTTTTTACTAAATAGGCTCATTTCGGACTATTTCCATCCCAAGCTAAATTTTTAATCTAAAAATCTTAAAAGTCTTGTTCACATCACATTGGTAGGAATTGGTAATTCTACATACAGTCAGAGTACGGTAATAATTATAAACATAGATTCTGATATTGTAATGTTGTTAAAACCACCCAGAGAACACAGAGAATCAACATAAAACACAGGTGCAGCTTGAATAAAATGGCCTGCTTTTTGAGAGAGTATTATCATACAATAGGGATGCAATACAAATACAATGTTGCACTAACTGGAATTGTATATAATGTCCATGCCTATGCATACAGTACAAATACAGGACACATATATATATATACATATATAATATCTGTCCATGTACATTATACACACAGCATATCATTTACTGAAATGGAATATGAACAAAATACAGATGAAATACAAAAGCAATGCCACACTTGCAGTGACTATTACACATACATAAATATAGTACATATGCAGCACAGATACAAAACACATACAGTATATCACATTGACTAATGCTGAATATGAGCACAGTACAGATACAATACAAAGCAAACACAAATACACAGTACATACATAGCAGGTACAATATACATACAGCATATCATTCACTGGAACTGAATATGAATACAGTAAAGATATAATACACATTCAACACCACACTGACTAAAGCTACATACAGTAAATATGACACAATACACATACAACAGCGAAATTGAATATGAATACAGTAGAGATACAATACAAAGCAATGACACACTTTCTATTACACATACATACAGTGCATACAGTAAAGATACAATATACATACAACACTACTTTACCTGGGTCTGACTTGCTCTGCATGTCGGCCAGTTTCTTCAAATTTTCGTCTCTCTGGGACTGTAAAAAAACAATAACAAGTCTTATCTTACTGAAAGTACAGTACAATTCTACTACATGTAAAGTTGAAATATGGAATCTCTAGACAGCCTACAATAGATTCCTGGCAATATAGCTGAAACAGTATCATTCTATGGAAGATGAATAATAGCAGTCGATCCCATTCCTGGAAATGATTCATTCATGAAGAGCTGAACAAATAAAAAACATGACTTCACCACATGTGAAGCAAAATGAGATGTTTCATGAATATTTTCTATAAGGTGAAAGTCCTCTATGTTTAACTCTTTTGATGATGTGAAAATAAAATTTGACAAATATATTTCAAGGAAAGTCTAACATGCTCTTTACACTATACACACAAAATTTCACGCATTTTTTTTTTTTCAATGAAAAATTGAACTTCAAGCACCAGCATACATTAAATCATCAAAAATAGGGCAATATTTCAGAAAATCAAAATCTCCCATTCAGTGAGTATTACCTTATGCTTAGAACCTTTAACACTTGTACAAATTCCATGAACAATCTTAAAATTCTGATGATGAGTCAGTTGTGAATTATTCCTCGGTTGACAATACTGCATCTTTTTATCCAGTTAATAATAAATAAATGCACATAAAAATATATCAATATTCTATTCCTCTGGGTCCTTGAACCTTCACTGCTGTAGGTGGCTTTAAGTGCAAACAGAGGATGCAAGAGTCCACCAGGTAAGTAACATTATAATGGATGGACAGCCTGCACCTGTTTAACCTCACATATTGTAATCACTACCACAGTTAATTATGTATTTATGCAGAGCCAATATGGGACTGTTCACAAAGGCGACTAACTTAGACCAGGCAATGACTCAGTTCCATCATTCCATGCCATCAGGTAAAGATATCATATGACCAGATATTAAAATCTGGTCATATATTTTATCATGGTTTGGAGTTTTGACTACTATCCATTTTCCCTGCATTAAAGTTGACTAAAATTTCAGTCGAAAAATTAAGACCAACTTTCGGTCTACAATTCATGACACTAAAGGTCATGCCACTCTCCCCAGATCAACAGCATTATAGTTAATAAAGCCTGTTTCCATTCATCTCATGCCAGACTTTCAGGTAAGGTCTCTACATCTGTCCCAAAGTCTCATAGAGCCATCAGCAAGCACTTGACTGAGCTGTACAAGATAACAGCAGGTCTACATGATTATTACACACCTACTAATTACTGCCATTGCACTGCAGAGTAGCTTAACAGATGCACTGAAGATTACATTACAGGTGGACTAGGACTGTCTTCTGGAGGATTTAGACTGCTATCTGGTGAATTTCTGGAGTTTTTTGAGTGGATTAGATTAGCTTCTGGTAGATCATGATCATCATCTGTGTCTTTCAGAAAACAATCAATTTTTCTTTAAATTTTTCATATTGTGAAAGGACCCAATTATAAATTGGATGAACCTGAATTGGAAATGATGGATATCTTTGATGTCAATACATTTTTTTATTAACTTAAAATGTTGCCTAATGAGGGGAAAGAAACACCGTTTTTATAGGGATAAGTTTCATGCTACAGTATCTATTGTTTTCTTTTAATTATGGTAATAACATTGAAATATTGCTTATCATTTTTTCTCTAATATTTTGATTTTCAAGATTTTTTCTATGACTGAACATTTTAGATATTACTGAACTTAAAGTAAACCAAAAATTTTACATTTTTATATTGTGCTGATGATCTTTTGGGATGGGTAATAACACATGCTGTTAAAATTTACAGGGCAATTGACTTTGTCAGTCAAGTACTTTTTTTAATTCAATCCAAATCTATATATTCATATCATCAGCTTTTCAGCTGACCTCAACCAATCAGGTAATATTTTGTGAGCAATATGTTTAATACGTAAGCTTTATCATCTCAAGATAACAAATCATCAAAGTTAAATTCCCATTCTCAAGTCCAATATCACAAGTACTTACTAGTAGTGTTGTCCAAGATTAAAAATAACCCAAGTTGCTATTATCATCATCCATACCTTAACACTGCACATGACCAGATAGTAAGTTAAATTCAATGTCAAACTGTTTTGATCTTTGTGTTCAACCAGCTACTCAAACCACTTGTCCTTAACGGGTCCCTCTCCAGGTGACCAATGGTCAGTTTAACAAGGCACATATAATGACCAGCAGGTTTCCCTCCCTCACCACTCCTTAATCCTCATATTTCTATAGCCTATGTTTTCCTGGTCAGTTTGCTTCCTTGTCAGTATATCTTTCCTTGGTAACAATACTTTGTGTTGTTTTAATGGTCAAGTCCACCAGGAACTTGTGGTCAACGCATTCAGTGTCTGGTCACCTGGCTGTGGTCAAGCAGGAGCCTGAAATGTCATTCACCTATTGATACCTGGTGAGTGGTCAGGGGCTAAATATTGTAACTGACCCCTGCGTCAATCTAGACTATCACAATAATGAGATTTTACTGCTAAAGGCTCCCAATATGTCTGTAATTAATACTAAATGTTTTAGATCTCAACAGAATGAAGACATAGCATTTTTCTAGAAGAGAATATCGGTCAGCAATGTCCAGTAATGTCCAGTTATCTCCAGCCACTGGGCGACTTAATCCCACTTCAGTAAGCGGGAGTATGTTAAATCCTCGGCTTATGTCAACTCGTGAAGTAAATCACACCTATTGCCACTGTGTTATTTTTCACAACACTCCACGTACAGGGTTTTAACTACTGCTTAAATATCCAACAATCTCTACCATCCACGCGGCCGCTGGACAAATGTCAACAAGGGGACAGCAACGCACCAGTTTAACAAAGCTCACTACTGCCTCCATTCCAAAGATCTGTTCAAATCAGGATCAACTTAGACTTGAAAACAGACTTAATATGGTCATCGAACCACAGGATTACATAAGGAATCCATACTGTGCCTTTGATAAAGATAAAAAACATTTTAAGCAATCAGGTTAACTGGCGATGTTAATCAGTCAGCATCCAGTGTACTAGTAAGTTTAAGCCAGGCATGGTGTGAATGTGTCTTTAGAAGTAGCTGTCCAAGCCACTGTGCTAGTATGGATATTTACCTGGTTAACATTCCATTCTATTCTATTCAAATATTTGTAAGGTGGGTGCATGAATGTCCTACCTTGGCTTAAGCACGCTGGTGTTTATGTCAAGCATTTTGTGTCGTTTCGAGCCCCGTTAACAATGACCAGGCAGAGAAGATTGCCTCACTTACAATAATAAATGATAATATTAACTTAAAGGTGACATGTGAAGGTTTTATGGCCCAAATGCCATGTCCCTAAATGATACGGACACACAAAGAGAACGGTCTAAAATAATCATCAAATAGGTTCATAAATCAACCTGGTGATAGTTTTTTTCTGCAATCACCTGACACTAGCACAAATGGTGCATCCATTCCCTCGGAACGACAAAACCATTGTTATTACATAGATATTCAACTTTCTTCAATATACTGAATTTAAATACATACTGAATATCAAGATACAAGGCTGCTTTGATCAAATGAACATAATTACCTTGGTATTACAAACTACCACTTGTATCATCTAAATATCTGATCTGATCAAGACTTGAAGCTGAAGAATACATATGTAATGCATACCTGCACAAAACCACCCAGTAAAACCCACCAGCTACTGCAGTAAGCTTCCAAGTGCAATCAATTCACCTGACCATTATAAAATTAATATATTATTTATCCTGGTTTTATCAGCGCTGTAACCAGTCACCCAGATAATTTCCTACTTCTTTCCTTTTGTCTGGGTTATCACACGTAGACAATGTAAATTCCGAACCAACTGACCCTGATAAAAACACTGTACTTGTGATAATGCTAATATTAAAAACATTTCATTAGGTGAGCATCTTATTTTCATATCATTAAACATGAGTCTAGGCTTTTAATGTGCACCAGCTTATCATCTGTACCCCAAAAACTTAATCTAACTTAATTTAGTTTGCCAAAGAAAATGAATTCAAAAATTTGTATTTCTGTAGCATATTTGTCCTTATTTTCTGTTTTCAGTTCAGATAAATTTTGGTGTAAACAAAAATTAATCATTAATACCTCAACCTTTGACTTATTTATCAGCAAGGACTGCAGTTAAGCAATAGCATCATATTTCAATTGTAAAAATTGGTATTGAGGAAAAAACATCAAAACATTGGAAAAGACAATTTCATATGGTTCTTGTATGTGGAAATTCGTTTAAATTCTGCAAAAAAATCTTGACTATGATATGTTTTCCTTTAGGGATGTGATGGCCAACACTGTTTATGTCAAAAGCTGCAGCATGTCTCTTATCATGTAATGCATCATAACGATCAAATTCACCAAAAACTCTTGCCTCATTAATCTTTTACATGAATGAAATCTTTTTTTTTTTTTTTTGTGATCTAAAGGATAATACTGCAGATTAATCATATGCTCAATGTTTCACATTCCTTTAAAAAGTATAGCTTGTCTTGCACAATTCCTTCATATTTTCTCACGTAAATATATCTTTTTGTCTACATCTCATCATGTTTTCATTTTGATGACTAATTTCTGAATTTATACCACCTCACAAGACATTTTCTAATATACCATTTGCCTTTATGAGACGTGCAATAAATTTAGAATCAACCTAAAACAAACATCACATAATCTTACAAAGTTGACTGCATTACCTCTTGCATAGTGTACAGGAACAACACATAGAATTCAACTTTCCATTTTCAAAAATAACAAAATAACTTCTCCTTTATATGTTTTTAAGATACATTATTTGCCATCAAAACTATTTTTTTGGCAATAAAATGGACACTGGTTGACCACTATTGAAACTGGCTGCAGAAAACAAGTAAGTTAAACATATTTCAGAGAATCTGACTATTAGTCTGTGCCAAAAGCTTTTAGCCCACTGGTTATGTTGCCACCAGAGTCTAAGAATTTTCTGACCAAAAAAAAAAAAAATGTCACAATGGCCAGTGACTGAAACAAATGGCAAAATTCCATTGCCCAGGGTTCTATATTTTACATGCATTTATCACGGGGCCAGTGCTAACTTTACAGTGTGACAGCACTATAAAAAACTTACCCAGTTTCGTGACATATTATTATAGCACTGATGGTACTGACGGTTCCTCACATTATTTTTCTGAAAATGCACTCCTAGTTCCCACGTCACCCAGTTATTGTTGTAAATAGTTTCCATGTCAACAGAGTGACTTCTCCCCAGGGGCCTGCGATTGGGTGTTGTGGTGCGTTTGAACATTTTTGCAGTTTAAAATTTGTGAACGTAACTATTCCAAATGTCTTTAGCTGAAATTGCTACCGTTTCTTATTATACCCTTGTTCACAAGTTAAAAAGCATGTCACTTGAAAACAAAATGTCCAGGATTTGTTTCTCAGTTTGCCAATCAGTAAGCTTTACCATCTGCTGACCCGGTATCTACTGACCACCTTGTACTGTATAAAATGGTCACTTCTGTCCTTTGCAATTACTGCTGTCCATTAATGGTCATTACTATGCACTAATGGCCACTATTTTATAATTCACTGTTACAGAGCCTGTTGCCGAATAAATCTAAATATTTTAATACAGAAGATGAAATAGCCAAGTTTCTCATTAATTACTCCCACATCCTTTTTCACTGGTGCTGCTTGGTTCAAGTTCCTCTTCCTCTGCTTTCAAATCTTTTCTTTGTTAAAAGTGTTTAGAAAATGACAATGCCAATAAATTCCATGAAGACAATTTTGCAGCAATTTCCAATCACCATGGACCTCAATAAAATCTTGCTGATTCGAAAGCCCAAGATTTGTTTTCTTCTTTGACTCAAGCACTATATCCTTGCCTAGAAATCCTGCAACCACTTCCTATGGTCAATCAGTGTCCACCACCGGTCACTCAGTGTCCACCACAGGTGTCCGGGAGTCAACTTTAAATCAAAGTTGCCCACAAGCTTAATTTACATACCCTCTCCTGCTATTTGCTTAAAATATTCCTCCCTCGTTAAGATTGTGATAAATATCTGCATATCTATTAGTACTTCAATTAATTCCTGTTATCTTCCAAGACACATCTAACAACATATCAGGGGACCTTAATCCAGAAAGTCTGCATCACTTCAGTTCTCCTAGTGTACACTTAAAGACACATGCAGACAATTCACGTTCACTGAGAAAACTAAAAGAAAATGAGATATCAGTCCCCGTAAGATGTCTCTTCTTCAGCCTCCAGAAAGAAAATGTCAGAAATAAAAGTCAGTTTTTATTTAACCCATGGTACCTGGAAGGTATGAGCCGCGTTCACACTTGGGACTATTTCAGACCGGATATCGAATCCAAGGTGTCACCTAACATTATCAAACAACCAATCACCACGCGGCTTCCCTGCGTATTCTTTTAGTAATCCAGCTCATTGGACAGTGCCATGACCAATCAACCCTGTGCCGTTTACACATGTGATATCAAATGCCATGTTTTAGTCCATTCCTGGTCCAAAATAATTCTGTGTCAGTGTGTGAAGGCATGTATTGACTACGAATAAGACTGATACGGTTTTCTTAATGTGGGTTTAGCATGTCTTTACTTCTTAAGGGAAAAGTGAACTATTCCCTGCCCTGTTATTATCCCCAAGGGCTACCTTTGATATACAATAACTATAATTAATATAATTAGTATGGCATTTACAGCAAGTATCTATATTTAAGAAAAAAAAATAATGATATATTCCCAGATATAAGCCCTTCCCCCCCCCCTCCCCTCCCACAACAGTGCTTTCAATCTCTTGTCTGAACTTGAAAATGAAAAAGTTTAAAATAGTTCTTATAATTTTAAACTAATTTTTTCAATATTTCCATTTTTACCTGTGGCCATGTTGTTCCACCTTGAAACCCCATATAAAAAGGCAGACGCTCCGTCAGTCCTCTCTTCACTTCTGAGGTAGCCATAATATTAAGAATCCAACTAATAGCATCACAGTTTTACCTTTGAGTAAAAAAAATTAAGGTAAACTTCCCTTTTCACTTTCTTTTCATAACATTTATCAGAATAATTCTTAAGCCTGAAGGAAGTACTGATAAAGTTTGAGACATGTGACAAATCACACCCATAAATCAATGTATGCAAAGTATGCGGGATTCTTACGTATTAGACTTGTATCCTCTTTCTTATCACTTTATGCAGATTTGTATTATTATCAAAAGGATTATGCCTTCTTCCGAATAATTAAAACTAAGATAAGCTAAGCATTAAAATTTACACGTTTAAAAAAAATAGGTTGTGGTTACTATTTTAAGAGCAACTTTCCTAATATAACTTTGAACATTTCCTTTTCCATTATCTCTCTTTTTCAATAATTTACAAGTCGAATATAACTTGGAGCATTTCCTTTTCCGTTTTCTTTCCTTTTTGATAATTTACAAGTCTGATTCAAAGAAAAGCAATGAAAATGAAAAATAAAAAACTGAGAGAAAGAGAGAAAGAGAGAGAGAGAGGGAAAGAGATACTCTGAAATAACAAATAAGACAAAAAGGGCTGTCATGTTTGCATTAACATATAACAATGTGTATGGACACACTGATCTGCCCCTCCACCTATCGTTTGTACATCTTTTAGAAATGGCTTTGTTCCATGTTTTAAATCACTGATCAAACAAAAGGCTTTTCATTCCACTACCAGAATAGACAATTTACTTCCTGTCCACTCTAGATCAATGCCAATGACCTATGACTTTCTCAAAACTGATCACTTCATGCATGAAAGTTATGGCGCTGACACAGTTCCCTAACCCCCCCCCCTCCCCATCTCCATCACACCTGATCACTTCCTTACATGAAAGTCAAGGGTCACCAAGTACTGCCACCCTCCTCCATGTAACACTAAATGATTATTTGATATTATTTCAAAACATTTAACCATTTGTTAAGGTATTTGTTTGATTACTTAATTATACAAATAATTGGATATTTATGAAACAAAAAGTATGAAAGTTTGGTTTATCAACAAGTTTATTATTAAAAATCTGCAATATATTTGAATTTTCATTAACACCATTCTAATGCAAAGTTTTTTTTACCAGCATTTTTTTTTACTTATGTTCAGTGTGAAATCAATCAGTTTAGATAAATACAACACTGAACTCTACATGTGTGTCTTCTGAATGGTGGAGTTTAGATGGGGTTATCTGGTATTTAGTTTATCAGCCTGATACTACAGTCTTAACAGTTGACTTAGGAATTAAGTCAGTTATACTTGGGGTCATTTCTGCAAAAGAACTTCAGAGTTGGCTCTGTTTGGTCATGTAAATAACAGAGTATAAGGACGAGGAGGAGGGGGGGTATTAGGGGGGGGGGAGGGGGGAGGGGTCCGACTGGGTTGCCCGCAAACAAGATACACACCAGTATAAGCAAAGAAGATCCTGTAAGTGTCAGTTTGGGCTGGCCCATCTCCAATGTAATCAGTTTAACTGAGCAAATATAATTTGTGTTATAACTGGGACCATAATGGGTGACAGCTAAGATATTCAAGAATATTAGAAGTTTAACTGCAGTTTTTAACTTATTAAATTACAATGCACATTTATTATTAAGTATTATACATATAAGATTTACTTGCAAGAGAGTAACTTACACCACTAGTCTTCCAAGTGTTGTGGTCTCTCGGCTTTGATCGTAGTCCTCGGTATAGGTATGACATACTCACTTGGTATCAATACACATCAACAACAATAACAATACAATAGNAAGAACTTCAGAGTTGGCTCTGTTTGGTCATGTAAATAACAGAGTATAAGGACGAGGAGGAGGGGTCTTTGGGGGGGGGGGGGGGGGGGGGGGGGTCCGACTGGGTTGCCCGCAAACAAGATACACACCAGTATAAGCAAAGAAGATCCTGTAAGTGTCAGTTTGGGCTGGCCCATCTCCAATGTAATCAGTTTAACTGAGCAAATATAATTTGTGTTATAACTGGGACCATAATGGGTGACAGCTAAGATATTCAAGAATATTAGAAGTTTAACTGCAGTTTTTAACTTATTAAATTACAATGCACATTTATTATTAAGTATTATACATATAAGATTTACTTGCAAGAGAGTAACTTACACCACTAGTCTTCCAAGTGTTGTGGTCTCTCGGCTTTGATCGTAGTCCTCGGTATAGGTATGACATACTCACTTGGTATCAATACACATCAACAACAATAACAATACAATAGCCTTAGGTCTGCCAAATGCTGTCAGTAACAACTTCAATACTGTTATATCCTATGATGTTCTGTTCACCTTTTTTTCAAGAACAGTAACAAATTAATCTTCTGCCAACTGCTGTCTCAATATAAGATGGTCAATTACATTTCCCTGCAGTTACCATGCAATGCTTCCTTTTTTCATCAACAGCAGTTCTATAACAATGTTCCCAGATTCATCGATCTCTGTCAACAACAGCATCCATACAATTTCCTCACTACCACTGTCCAACTCATCAGCAACAATAGCGATTCAAAATCAAAGCCACATCAGTCTCGCTCAATAGAACAATGTACTCAAATCAAAGTTTTCCTGTCAACAACAGTAACGAACCATCAGGGCAACAGCAGGCTGCTGTCCTTATCCATAATATATATGACACAGCACAGCAAATGTCCAAATTACATAGATGAAAACTCACAGATGCACATAAATTATCGAAACTCACAAATGCACATAAATTCAAAAGTGTCAAAAGTTTGTCATTCCTGCAGGCTCGGACAGCTCCGATGTCACCCTGTCAACTGTGTGAGAAGATTTGTGGGAATCATGCATGCTGTTTATTATAATTAGTTCAGTTCACACACAGGAGTAACTTGGACCAGAAACTGACTAAACTGCATCACTGAATATCACACATTGGAAAGATAAACTCAGGTATGATTTGACAGCCTGAGGCAGGATGGGATGTCACTATGATACCTGGTTGTGGGATACAATATCAAATGAAACAGTTTGCCATCTGGTTCCATTTTCCCCAAAGAAATGAAGTCAGGAATTGGTGTTAAAAACTGGTTTATTTAAGACTGGACATTCTGGTCCATTTCAATCCAGAGATAACTGGTGTACTCCATTAATATAAAGCATACAGCTATCAGTCAAAAACTTTGACTAAATCTTACTCAACATAAAAAAGTTCCCCTATTTTCCTTAAGACATCAATTTCTCTATTTATCTGCTCAGGTGATCAAAATCTATACGCGAAATATACCTGCAAAAGCCTAGAAATTACAATTTAACACATTTTATCCTTCAAAATGTGTTTTTCTCCATTAAAATTTCCTCCTAGTGACTTGTTCTATAACAAAATAAACTAAATTTATCCTAAACTTAAAGTTACAACCATCTTTTTAACTCAAGTTTTTTTGTGAAAAGAGAATCTGGTCCAAGTTGATCCAGTGTGTGAACAGAGAAATAAAAAGGCATCAAAACTGAACACAAAACTGAACACAATACATCTCCCACATCATGACATGTACAGGTTCAGATTCTACTGACAGCCAGCATTTGCCACAGGCTTCCTAGTAAATCAGCAATTTCTACCATTCCTCCAGCAATTCCTGTCTACATATATGAACTATAACTGTGTGTCACCAGTGAACACAATACTTGATGCCGTCTTCCTCCGAGTCATGACGGGTAATTTGCAAGAATATATATATATATACAAACTATTTGTCATAAACAACATTTTTTCTCTCTCCGGTCCTAGCTTAAATACAGACATCATCTACCTTTGTCACATTTTTCTAAACAATATCCCAAAGGCCAGAGACTTGCTTAAGAGGAAAACTTATCTTTCTTTGTCAACATATCTTTTCACCTGTACATTTTCTCTGTTAAAATCTGAATAATGTTTATTTTTTTCTTTTATAATTGATGAAATTTGAGCAGAGTGGTCTTCTGACAGGTCAATGATGGATGGAGACAGTGGACAATGGGCAGAGGTCAACACGACCTACAACCTCTAGCAGCCTGTAAGCTGGTAATATTGTCTATGTAACACACAAATCAACAAAATACAATCTGTGAGAACCTTCCTAAGACCCTTTTCACATTGAATGGTTTAGTTATCTGTATTGTGTCAGTTTGAGAGATTTTTTTTTTTTTGCTCCAAATATTTTTCATTCCAAACTGTTTTATATTCAAAGTTTAAATAATACCTTGAGAGATTTCTTATTATTTTTTATTATTATCTTTTTTCAAATCCAATTTTTTGTCGTTCAAAAATGTGTTATACAAAGTATAATCTACACAGATTCTTTAAAATGTATATATATATATATACTAGTACTCTGAAGTTCCAAATAATTGTACTGTCCAAATAATTGTACCATATGGAAAAATCTTTTTAAAAAATAATCGTACCAGTGCTGTTATACAGAACTTTAGAGTATATCAGTCTTGTCTGCAGGTGTTCAGAGAGTGTGTAGGTGTCCAAATGACGTCAATATCTTTAAGTTAATCTACCTCAGGCGAACCACCTGTCTTCTCCTAATAGATATGTGTAATTCCATAATTTGGTCTCTGTATTTTCAGAGACTCAGTAGTCAAAACTGGGCTCACTTAGACTGCCTATTGCAATAACATTATCTTCTCTCTCTCTCTCTCTCTCTCTCTCTCTCTCTCTCTCTCTCTCTCTCTCTCTCACACACACACATACACACACACACACACACCTGTCTACCCCATATGGGATAAATAATTTTCCACACATGAAAAAATTTTGTGACTAACCATGTTGGATATGATATAAGAAAAGTGCAACCTTTTTTTGCTTCTGACACATAAATTATGAAACACCCTCATCACTGATCTACAATGCTTAAACATCAAATGAGTTCACCACCATCAGCTGCTGCTGAATGCAAACATATAATGGATGTTTAATTTTGCAAGAATTACTCCAAGGATAATCCTAGGCCTTTGAATCAAATAATCTAAGGGCTCATTCCCAATGAGACTATTGTTCTATGTTGATTGATTCAACTTTGCAGGAACTCTCACTGAATACAATCAGATTAGAACATCTCCTCTTGTTTCCAACATACTTGTATCATCACCAGCTTGTCTGTATTCTTATCAACGTCAGAAGCATGTTAATCTGTTAATGAGCCCCAAAACAGACATACGTTACTGTTACAATATTATACGCATTACTACAACAGTCAATAAGTGTATGGCAATAAACAACTGCTCA